AATTGATGGAATTTTTACCATTGAATACAAGGGCAGCAGAGTTAGGCCAGTGTTGAGAGGTCTGGAATTCCACCCTTTAATCTTGAGGGGTAAAACTCCTAATTCTGGGGGCTACAGCTAAATCCCGATGTACCCTGTTAGCAAATAAGACCCTCTTCTAGATGGCAACCTACTGGATAACTTGTCATGGGTTTGCAAATAGTATAAAGCCTTTAGTAGCAGTAAGCTATGGCCTGCCTAAACTGTTAAAATTGGCATCGAGGAGGTGAGACCTAACACACGACGATGGCGTTTATTAAAGTCTATCTCCTGCCAAGGCGCTTAGATCATTACAAATATTTCAGGGTGAGCAAAATTTGAAGTACTGGTCCTGCATGCTCGTCCTCAACTCTTCATGGCAGCAGCTGAACAAGGATCCCGGAGCTTTGGGATGCTCTAGAAACTCTTTACAAGGCCGCTTCAATGCTTGCATCAGTGTCTAACGGTCATGGACAGGGAACCTGCTGCCTAGTACAGCCAATTAAGTACTAAGAAATAGACTCTTTAGATCAAGATAAACAAGACTTTCTCTCTGACCTCCCATCAATGGCTCAGTCCCACTGGGAGTGCAGGGGATTTTAGTGTAGCAAAGAGTGCTGGGGGAAGAAAGCACAAGCCAAACACTCTGTTCTACTTTAATCTCTTAAAAGCCAGGTCTGAGCTCTGACTTGTGCCTTTCAGAATCGTCACTCAGGATGATGATACAAACCTCTTAGTTGACACACAGATGTCCAGGATACACAAACACTCGCTAACCACGGACTTCTCCAGTTGACTCATCTTGATGTCCCTCTTGCTGGTTTCAAAACCAGAAAATCCCCAGCATAGCCGGCCCATGTCCCGCTGATATGCCAGCAATAGTCACAGCTTGGAGGAATATGGAAAAAGCCCTTACACTGTCAATATCATGGTGGAGAAATAGCTCTTCAGGATGAATTGGGAGGCAAAATATCTAGTCTCAGAAATAAGTTGAGCTTTTGATGATCTTAAGCCAGTCTCTAGCTACTAGGCCTAACAGGCTTGGGGGGTCAGATTATCCTACATCTGTCTATGTGGCATTCTTCACCTCTGGAGAGTCTGGTACTGGCCACTGTCAGATGGGATACTGTACTGTACAGACCTGCCATATTGGATTGGACACATGTTCAGTCATGAGTGCTAGTGGCCATTTCATTGTGGCAAAGGTTTCCTAGAAGCCTTTTGCCATCTGTAGTTGCTGAAACTTTGTATTCTGAAGCCTGTCATAATGTGAATTGGCAGCTTTGATGGCTCAGACATGAAGGCAGAGGGAGATGTCGGGTCAGAATGTTGCCCAGTTAGTCAGCAGCAAACTGCTGTTAATTAGCACAAAACACCCATGATGTGGAAGCTGTAGGAGCTTAGCCTTTCAGTATAGCTTCCTGCAGCAGTGGGTGCTCTTGAGCAATGATCATACAACTGTTTTAATATCCAAGGGCAAGTGTCTGCTAGAACTGGTAAAGTCTCTTACTCCCAATCCTTCAGCAAAACCATGCCAAGCTTCCTTCAAAGCTGTGCTACCCCATCAAACTTGCCACCTTGGCTTCAGAAATCTTGAGACCATATGAGTGTGACTCTCTCTTTCAAAACTCTTCCTTGCCAGACTAGCCCAGTAAATACTCATATCCTTGTAAGCAACAGCCAATGCTCTCCAAAGACTAAAATCATGTTTCTTCTCCTCCTCCTGCGTAAGTACTTTCATTATTCGTACGCTGAAAGTAGTGATGTTGTGTTACAAACCCCCACAGCCTGAATGCAAGTAGCGGCCATTCTACTTGCTAGCTGCGTTGAGGCTGTTGCCAGCTAACTTCCACTGAAAAATAGGGCTCTTTACTGAATTAAGGATTAGGAGATAGGAAGGTCACGACATTCTTGTCTCGTGCATCTCGGTAGCCGGAGACTTGTCTGTCTGGTTCCTGTACCCTTAGAATCTTTCAAAGGAGCCTACAGGGTCTAGGTGCCAACTTCACTGAAGTTCAAACCCTGCCTAAGTCCTTGGTGAAGACACTGGAAGCATTAGTCAGCACCGTATGATGATGACTCACTGCAGTTCGAAGCGCAATAGACACTTGATCTAGATGGAGTGACTCCCTCCTGCCTTGCTACCACTTGCTCAAAGAGGTTAGGAATCTGCCTTCTCCGGAGGTGTGCAGGCATGTTCTAAAGGACAAAGTCTTATACTGATGCTCTGATTGGTCTCAAAATATGAGAGCCTCATTAGCTTCTGTTTTAGAACATTGTCAGGGGCTGCTCTTGGGCACACTGGCCCTCTGCCTAGGGCAGGAGGAGGGTCCGGGGCTCCCCACAGCAGACTGCCTATGAGGGTTCTTACCATGGCTCGGCTTCCGGCCTGGCCAGGGGGTGGGGCCCTTTTTGGAGGGGGGTGAAGGCCCACCTCACCCCTTGGGAAGAAGCTGGTGCCACCCCGGAACCTCAGACAGGTGTGAAGCAATGCCGCAAGGAACCCAGGTCAAATGCCGTCCTGGCGTGATTTTGACTGGGACTTGAACACTGCATTTCAGGATTGTCCCACCCAATTAGGACAGGTGGTCATCCTACGCATCTTGTCTAAAAGGTACTACAATAGTATGTCTTCTAAGGCATCCTCTAAAAACTCACCTGCTGGTCAGGATCATCCTGATAAAATATGTGGCAACGTTGTATGTGAAATTATAAAATTATGTACGTATGTATGATATTAACACGTTCCAAACCCCACAACCCTGCCGAAACTGAGGTGGGGAAATTGCTTTGTCCTAAACAAAGCAATGTGTACTCTGCTTAATTTGCATTTTAAGCAGTAAACAGAATAATCAAACCTGGAGGGAAACAAAGAAAGCTGAAACAGGAGCAAGAAATCCAGAAGGGAACATCCTTCCACATAGACTTTTGTCTCGTACTTCCCAGCTGGAAATGTTTGTTTTTTGTTTTGTTTTTTCTAGAGAGGGATTGAAACACCCCAGGGCACCATCTCTTCTCCCTGCCCATCGCATTAGTGCACCTGAAGTGACAAAGAAAGCAAGCCCTGAACTCTGACAGGGTGTGACAGTGGGGGGTATTTACTGGTAGAGTCTGCATTGGTGGTGGGATATCAGGGTGGGACTTCACTTGAGGGTTGATACATGAGCACATAACCTGAGCCCAGGAGGGGGTTGGGGCTAGGTGACACCTTCTGTCCAGAAAACTGGACAAAGGCTGGAGGAGAAGCAGGGGGTGTGGTTGGGTGAGACTGCTGGAGGGGGGGTTTCAGTTTGAAGCTGGCTGGGGAAAATAGAGGGAGGTCCAGCATCAGGGTCAGCCCCAAGATGGATCTGACTGAAGGGTCCTGTTTCCTGTACCTTCAAGCTCTGTTTTGGACTATTCCTGTCTTCTAATAAACCTTCTGTTTTACTGTCTGGCTGAGAGTCCTGGTGAATCGCAGGAAGTGGGGGGGGGGGGCATGCAGGGCCCTGAGTCCCCCACACTATGACACAGGGGTTCTTCAGTAAGACTGCTGAAAGCATGTGTTAAGAAACTTTGCTTGACTCTGATCTAGTTTGTTTGTTAGGTATTTGTATTTCTTGTAACAGTTTCTGACTCTTTGTGCATCATTACTCTTACTCAATGTTTGTAGCTAATCTTGTTTTACTGTTTTATCTAATCCAGAGTGTTTAAATTGAAGTGTCTGGGTAATTCTGTTTTGGGTAACAAGTTATGTGCATATTATTCACTCAAAGGAATAACAAACTTAAAACATTTTGTACTGTCAAAGGGGGCTGGGCAATACAGGACATACATGACTGCGGGGTATGCTGGGGTCCTCCTGCAGTATAACCAAGGCTGGTGAGAAGCAGGGTGTAACTGACAGGTTGCAGTTACAAAAAGAAAAGGAGCACTTGTGGCACCTTAGAGACTAACCAATTTATTTGAGCATGAGCTTTCATGAGCTACAGCTCACTTCATCGGATGCAGACACTCAAGGTGTGGCTTGCATGCTGGAAAGCCACTTGTGAGCAGTCCAGATGGGAGCTACTTCAGCAAGGCATTGTAAGGTACTCAAGGTTACAGGGCAGGGGTGACACCTGCTCATTAGTCTGGATTGTACCCTTTTATGTCACGTGTACCCAACACCCTTTTTAAGAAGGAGAGATGCTTATAGCCTCAACTTGCCCATACTGCTCCCTTCCCAATTGAAGAGCTGCTCCAAAGATTGACACATCACATGAGCTGCTAACTTTCGTCACATTTCTAGACATATGAAATTGTAAATCTATCCTCTACTCTGCAGAATTCAGCACGTCTGGGACTTCAGCCTTCTGAAGAATGTCTTCAAATATATGGTGAATCATTAAGCAAATATAGCCAGCTGAGCTTCTGCCAGGGTGAAGAAACCCAGAAGCGAATGTGCACGTACTCTATTGCAATATAGTTTGCCATGAGTTCTAACGTAATCAAATATAAAAAGCTAACCAGAAATAGCCCCCTAATGTCTAATTTAAGAATAGCAGCTAAAGCCCTTTCTTTAATAAAGAAATTAAACATGACTGAGGTCCTACAATATTCAATATGAAAAGCTTGTCACAACTTTATTTTGCTGAACAATGTAGCTCACATTCAGCTACTGAAGACCAAATCCCACTCTCCTTGTAAAGTCCTTCAGAGCAAGACAGGATTCGCAGTTATTGCCCAACGAATAACTGGATTCATAAATTACTTGCTTAGCTACTAAAACAGTTGTTTAGACTAAACTCTCATGACCTATTCAGTCCACCTAGCAGAACAGGTTAATTTTCTATGTGGCAAATGGTTGCAGGCTACAAACAGTATTAAGAGTATGGAGAACTAGAAACCCCACCCTTTTCTGCCCTTTTGCTGAGCAGAATCCCTTCTAATGTCACTACAACATGATCTGTAACACATACTATGGGCATGTTAAAATAACTTTCCACACTCTTCCTTTGTAGGTTATATTCAAAGTCAAATGTGCAGCAGAATTCAATAAGTACAAGTAAGTGACTCCTCTTCTTGCCTACCCCAAACATGCTCTCATTGGGTGTATTAACAGTACAGTGTACCTGAAAGATAGTCAGTGTCTGAAATCTACCAAACGCTACATTCAAACTTCATAGCAATAGCTTTGTTTTGTCTCTTACCCAGATGTTTAACAAAGATTAATTCAGTTACCTCAGAGTACAGGGTGGAAAGCAAAGCCCTGAAGAAGTTGTGGGCTAGTCACTGGGCAGCCTGATCATCGGATTGGGGTGCCTATGTGGGTCTGGGGGTGAAGGACTCGATTGTACCCAAAAGGGAGATGCTATAGCTCCTGGTTTGCCAACTAACTTTACTAACACACATAGCACCAGTGAGAGCTTCCCTGCAACTCTCAAAGGGTACGTCTACACAGCAATGAAAACACCCATGTCTGGCCAGTGCCAGCTGGCTCAGCCCCACAACCTGAACCCTGCAAGCTTGCTTCATTGCTGTGTGGACTTCCAGGCTCAGGCTGGAGCCAAAGCTCTGGGACCCTCCTACCTCACAGAATCCTAGAGCCTGGGCTCCAGCAGTAAAACAGCCCCACGAGCCTGAGTCATCTGGCATGGGCCAGCTGCAGGTGGCTTAGCTGCTGTGTAGACCTAGCCTAAGGGTCTAGAATGAGCACTGCATTAGACAGCACATGTTTCTGTAATTCATGGGAGGGTATTGGTGCTCCAGCAGGTTAGGGTGACCCATGAAAAGGCTGAAAACCATGGTAGAACACTTCTGGGATTCACTATCTAGCCATAAGCCAATGAGAGAGTCTTGTCTTCTGTGGACCTTTGTGATCCCTAGCTTATGAACCCATGCTGTGGCTTCGCAACACACCAACCACGCCTGTGGCTCAAGCCTGCGTGTTAAGTCATTTTAGTAGGACATCTTTCTGTATGGAAGGCAGGACTTCAGATTGTGTCCGTTAGACCCATAGGCCAAGAACTAATGGACCTGTGTCAGGAGACACACTCTCAATGGAGAGTGTAATTCGACTGTGTTTGCAGCCACTTATTTTCACCAAGGCTGATGGTGGTTGGGCTGACTCTCAGAGCCTCTAACTTACATGAATGTAAGTTAAACCAGTAGTTAAGTTCTTATCTTGCAACTTTAAGATAGAAAGACAGGAATCTTGTAACTCCTCCTGATTTCTTGCAAGCTTCTACCAACTGAGTGACTTTTAAATACCCGTGCTCTACACACTATGCCGACTAAACAATTTAAACTGACTTCTAAATGGCTTCCCTAATTCCTTGTCTACATAACTGACCTTTCACACTTGCTAGCTTGCTGAGTTATAGCAAATGAAGAACAATGCTGGGAGTAAAATGAACTAATAGAGAACAAGGGAGATGATGCAGCGGTAGAGACTTCTTCAGACTGTTTTGCTCAATCAGTTTTTCTTTTTCCAGGGTCCTGTTGTATCTGGGCTCCATATTTACCAGCCTTCTCTTTCTCATTGTGAATTTAACTTGTGCAATGCTTATCCATGAAGATGTCCCAGAGAGTCGGCTGAGATGGACAGTATTTGTTCGGGCACTAGTCAATGACAGTCTCTTCATTCTTTGTGCCATTTCATTAGCTTGTTGTATGTGCAAACTTGCAAAAATGTCATCGGCGAACGTCTACCTCGAGTCAAAGGTAGGTAAATGCTGTATAAGCTGTGCTGAATTATTTACTTCAGTCCATAGGGGTGCAAGTCCAAGACCATGACCCCATCATGCTAGATGCTCTGCAAACACAGAACAAAAAGAGTTCCAGCCTGGAACTAGTCAAACTCTTTTCAGTTTGGGTTCTTCAATTTGTGTTTGTGCTTGCAGGAGATCCGTTGGTGCAACAGAAGATCACTATAACTGTCAATACTGGACTTTTTTTTTTCCTTGAGTTTCTTAAATCACTTGTTTCAGTACAGAGTCAAGATCTGGTATTGATGGTGTGTTGCTATCTGACACTTAATGTCGAGGCATTTGGTAGTAACTGCAATCCTCTGCTAATGTGACACCCATAAACCAGATCCACTAGCAACCCAGTCTAGTAATAAAACTCTGGTGGCCTGTTGTAGAAGAAAGCCAGCTTACATCACTTGTGTCAGAAGCAGTATCCCGCTCCATTACATGTAGCATCTCCTTATGGGCTAACTGCACCTGGCTTGGGGTTCCCCCTCTCCATGCCTTTCCTTCCCTCCCCAGGTTTCCAGACTTGACCAAAGGATGTATAGACACAACCGCATTCTATCAGCTGGGAGCACTGAGCACCAATCCACACAAGTCTTCCTGGAGACATTCAAGATACCATGTGGGAAATGGCTTCTGCCTGTAAAAACTGGGAGTCATGCATGGACATGTCACCTGGGCAAGTCACTCCAGAACTCCATCTTGGCGCTGGACTTTGCATAGGAGAGAGAGAGTCTGTTTAAGCCTGTGGGAGACCTCTCCATTTTGTCTTCAGCTGGCTAAGGAGAGAGAGCCTCTTCAGCCGGCTAAGAAGATGTATCCTTGGGGGTGAAGACCAAATGAAAGGGTCTCCCACAGGCTTAAACAGACTTTCTCTTGTGGGTGGAGACCCCCTCCTCTTTCCTATGCAAAGTCCAGCTCCACATGGTATCTTGAAGTCTTCCTGGAGACATTCTTATGTGGATTGGAGATTTCCAAGACGCATTGTTCCTTAAGTGCTTCTTAATTGGGCACTTAACCTTAGTAGAGCATTTGGTCAGTTCCTGGAGAAAGGAATTTGCAAAGTTATCTAGAAATCAAGCCAGTACGTGGCCAATATTCATAACTTCAACTACAAAAATGATACAGGCATACAAATAGGAGGAATAGATTCAGTAGATCATAACCTTTACAGAGATGTTACATGGCATATGTAGCATAAAACATATTCCAGTTATCACACACACACACAAGCATATTTCCATAGAGCTTTATGGGGTGCACCATCACACGGTCTCTCTCCATTGCAGGAGCCCTGGACTCTTGTTACTACTGGAGCCAGAATTCTAAACCCGGGCCGATGGCCTGATGAAAGGCAGCATTGCCTCTGCTGGAGATGGGGCTAGATGACTTCCTCCCATGGTGACCATGCTCTGTCCAGGGTCTGCAAAGCCCCTGTCAGTGGAGACGGACTCAAACAAGGCTGGGCAGCATTCACCTCCTCATCAAAGAAGGGATGAGGATGTTGCTAGGTCTGATTACTGGTGATCAGGAATTGGCAGCTCCTGTGTGTGGCCAAATTGGGAGCCTGGGCTCCTGTAGCTCAACAAGGCTCCTCTGCCCAAGGCAATGACTCCTGTGTCTGAGTCGCTTCGCTAGACCCATGCCTACATCATCGGCTGGTAGGCGACGCTTCCCCTCTCCTTGGAACTATGGACAGCAACTTCTGGAGCTTTTTCTTGCACATGGTCTGCTGTGTGGCAGCCAGTGAGCTAACAGGCTTTAAACGACTACCCCTATGAAATGCCAGCCTGTCTCCTCTGCCTTAGGCGTTTCTGCTGCTTGATCTGAACTTGCATAGGAGAAGGGGTCAGCAAGCAAGAGATTCCTTCTCCCCCTCCCCGCCCTCCCACCTGCAGAGTCCATGATTCAGGGGACCTTGCCCCATATTTGTCTAATGGACTCGGCATACTGAAGGCACTACGTAGACTGGGTGGTCTAGCCTGGCATAGTTTATCTTAGGGAGCAGATGTAGATCCTGATGGCTTCCCATCTTCTCCCCCCAAAACTTCCCTTCTGTATTTTCCTGAGATGAGCGAACTGTCAAGGAGGCAGGAGCTAAAGAGCCCAAGTTTATTTGGGATCAGTTAAACTGCCAGCAGTTGCTCCAGTTCTCAAACACAGCCTTGTGCTGCAAAACAAGGAAAAAGTGGAACTAAACTCTATCTTCTGGTTGAACATTCTGGGTCTCAAAGGCACATTTGGCAAGTCACTCTTGTATGTGGGGGAAACAGACAGGTGTTTCAGCAAGTTGCAATATCTGACCATAAGGGCTCTGTGCTGCTGGTTGTGGCTCTGCATCATGATCAGGCAGGAGTCACAGTTGCATGAATTGGAATTTAAATCGCCTTCAGAGAGGTACTGACTTCCTCTGCTCAGAATTGGTTTCCTTTGCCCTGAGACAGGATCTGTGAGCATGTTCTGAAATCTGAGAAGTCACTACTTCTGGAAGTAGAATTTCAGTGTCCTCCACTGACCTTCCTATTCTCTCCTCTTGCCTCCTCTCCCCAGCAGCAGCCGTGCTGTGGGGATTGCTCCTAATCAGTAGTACACCAAGGCTTCTCTTATTTGACAAAAAAACTTCCTAAAAGGCTGTTGCTACATCAGTACTCCAGCCCTCTCTGCAGTGTGTGCTGTACTTGCCACCCAATGTAATAGGGTTTCACACCTCAAGTTAGTGGCAACGAAGCACCGTAAATGAAGACCAAACCCAACCTGCGTTTTGGTATAACTAAGCTACACCTGTCTAGCCAGGTCATCTGTATAATTGTTTGCTTGCAAAAATAACCACTATGCAACTGGGACCTAATACTAGAATAATCCTCCCAGTGGTTTGCAAGGTTCCACTTCTCTTCCTAAAGGTCGGTAAGAAACAGTCATGTGGAACTGGACAATTGCAATCAACTCCCCGCCGTCCCAGAAGAGGGTTCTTAACCATGCTGTCACTAGAATATTTTAAGCTAGTGTGATGAGTAGATGTTCTGGGTCCAATCATGCATGCATGACTTGCCGTGCATAAAATTACAATTTTATGGGAAGATTTGTGTAACAACCTATTAGATTTTTAACGTATTTCGCTTCCTCCCCCGGTTCTTAGGGCACATCCGTCTGCCAGGCTATCCTCGTCGGTTCAGTAGTTGTTCTTCTGTACTCTTCAAGGGCTTGCTATAATCTGGTAGCAGTGGCCATATCTCCAGAGAATGTTCCTAGTCCATTTAATTATGGCTGGGACAACTTTTCAGATAAGGTAACTAGTAATATCAACAAGTGGGTGTTGGCAGGTGGTGTGGGGGGTGTCTCTAAGCCCGAAAATGGCTAATGAGGAGAAAAATCAATGTTCTGGGTGCGTGGGATCTCGCTAAGGATGTTGTTGTAGTGTTCTTAAAATGCTCTCATAGTCCAGTTCCTGAGACTCCCTGTAAACAGTCCATCCTAAGACGAATGTGAGGCTTAATGTGACACACCTGCTGTCTACAACTAGACACATCTCTAGAGGAGCTTGACCCCGAAGATTCCAAGAGCAGCCCCGGCAACTAGCGCCTGATGCTAATCCATTAAAAGCTGCCTTCCAAGCTATTTGAGTCTAAGGGGAAATATGACTGTCACCCTGCTGCTACTTTCTTAGGCTTCTCCTTTAACTTGGGGGGGGGGTTACTTGTCACAAATGCTTCCAAATGTTAGATCTCTGTGGTGACGACTACTCCAGGTCACTGCCACTAACCTGTTACTAGCCATAACAGTAAGATGCATTGAATGGGATTTGCTTGCCAAGTATCTAAGTACTGACCAAGTGCACAAGATTAAACCTCGGCGAGATCTTAATTGGACACCAAACTGCACCCTCTTAATGGCGAGTGCCCACCTGTAGAGCTGGTGTAATGGCACTAGGTACGGTGCTGCAGTATAGACCGTTCGGTAGGTCAGTCTAGGTCCTGAGCATCTGTGGCCAGCCAGGATTGACTGAAACCATGGTGGAGATGTGGAGATCACATCTGTCTGGCCTCATACCCTCCGCCCTAGAGGCGGTGGTGGTGGAGGTGGGATACTAGCTGCCACATCACTGTATATAGGGGTGTGTAAGCCTCCAATGTACCACCCTATAATCTAGAAACATTCTATAAGATGTCTGAGTTGACATGAAACACTTGCTCTGATTGGTGAGGGATCCACTTTCTACACTAAGGAACTAGCCCATCCCCCCACCCCACCCCGAAAACTGAGTAGGCTTGATGTGGAAGCTCTCAGCTGAAATCTGTCGCAGCTGGTACTGGCCACTTAGTGACAGGACACTGCCCTAGCTGGACCACTGATCTGAGCCAGTCTGGCAATTGCAGTGTGCAACGCTAATCCGAACTCTTTCCAGATTTGAAATCCAGAAGAGTTTGTGCACTGCATCCTAGTCTTTCTTGGAATCCCATCACTTTGGGGAAAATCTGTGTGTATGCGCGCACTCATATTTCTCCCCCCCACCCCCAAGAGTGCTCTTTTAAAGACCCAACTCTCCAGGCTTAACCATAACCTCTCCGTTTCCAGATGCATACGGAGGAAGTCAGTGGTGAAGAATATGTGGTGTTTGGAGTGGTCCTCTTCCTCTGGGAGCTTGTGCCGACCAGTTTTGTGGTGCTGTTCTTCCGGGCTCAGAGGCTCACTCAGAACTTGGTAGGCTATGAACTAATTGCTCTGGGGTTAAGATCTTTTTCAAGTTGCTCGTTGCACATGAAACTTGTCTGATTTACTCAGCTAAATAGCTGCTTTTTTTTTTCCACTACGTAATCTCTAGAAACAACTGGGTGTTTTTTTTACCTTTATCAACAGACACCAGCTGGCATGATCAACAGTCACAGTTATAGCTCCAGAGCGTACTTCTTTGACAATCCAAGGCGATATGACAGTGACGAGGACTTGCCAAGACTTGGTGCGAGAGAAGGAGGCAGGTAGGTGGGGAGCTGTTCAGATATTCAGAATCACCATTCGACTCTCGCCTGTGAGCAGCAAACAGTGTCTACAGAGCAACCAACTCCTGCTCTTCTTTTAAGCCAAAGAATCTTTCCTAGCAAAGGGGCCTCGAACCGGTAGACCAAATAAATGAGGCAGTTCATAACATAAGCTGTGGCTTACACTAAGGACCTGAGAGAGACGGGCTGGATCACAGAAACCCCCTGGGAGCTGCCACCTGAGGTACCAAGACTACTACGGCCCCTGCTTTCCCTGCCAGCTTGGGACTCCAGCACCCTGTCTCGCTGAGCCAGACACGCCAGTCTGCTCCAGCACAGACCCAGGGTCTGAACCACGTGCCCCAAAGCTGCAGGCTTGGTTGACAGCAACTTAAGTGTTCCTGTCCTTGACACTCAAATGCCCAACTCCCAATGGGATCCAAACCCTAAATAAATCCATTTTACCCTTTATAAAGCTGTTCGCCCTCTATAACACTGATAAAGAGATGCACAGCTGTTTGCCCCCTGGTATGTATTAATTGGGTTAATTAATAAGTAAAATGATTTTATTAAATACCGCAAGTAGGATTTAAGTGGCTCCAAGTAGTAACAGACAGAACAAGGTGTATTAACAAGCAAAATAGAATAAAACATGTAAGTCTAGTACGGTAATAAGAACTGAATACAGATAAAATCTCACCCTTAGGGATATTTCAATAAGTTTTTCACAGACCAGACACCTTCCTAGTCTGGGCACAATCCTTTCCCCTGGTACAGCCCTTGTTACAGCTCAGGTGATAGCTAGGGGCGCTCTCATGATGGCTGCCTCCCTTTTTTCTATTCCACCCACTTATATACCTTTTTTGCACAAGGCTGAAATCCTTTGTCCCTCTCTGGGTTCCCATCCCTCCTTCTCAATGAAAAAGCATCAGGTTAAAGATGGATTCTAGTTCAGATGACATGATCACATGTCACTGTAAGACTTCATTACCCACTTGCCAGCACACACGTATACAGAAAGACTAACAAGTGAAACATCCGATGAAGTGAGCTGTAGCTCATGAAAGCTTATGCTCAAATAAATTGGTTAGTCTCTAAGGTGCCACAAGTACTTCTTTTCTTTTTGCGAATACAGACTAACACGGCTGTTACTCTGAAACCAGTTCTAGAAATCACTCCTAGAAGTGATGAGTGAACTTGTTTATATTTGTCTTTATTTTAGGGCTGTTGATCGCAGCTAACTCACAGGATTAACTCAAACAAATTAATCACATTTATAACTATCCAAAAATATTTAATATTTTTTTAGTTACAACACAGAATACAAAGTGCAGTGATCACTCTATTTTTTGTTACAAATATATGTACTGTAAAAATGATAAACAAAAGATAGGTTTCAGAGTAGCAGCCGTGTTAGTATGTATCCGCAAAAAGAAAAGGAGGACTTGTGGCACCTTTAGAGACTAACCAATTTATTTGAGCATAAACTTTCGTGAGCTGTAGCTCAAGAAAGCTTATGCTCAAATTTGTTAAACAAAAGAGTATTTTTCAGTTCACCTCCTACAAATTCTGAAGTTCAATCTCTTTATCATGAAAGTGAAAATCTGCATTTTGGTTACATAACTGCACTCGACAAAACAGTGTAAAACTTTAGAGCCTACAAGTCCATTTGGTCCTTCTTCTGCCAATCACTAAGACAAATAGGTTTGTTTACATTGATAGGAGATGCTGCCTGCTTCTTACATACAATGTCACCTGAAAGTGAGAACAGGCGTTCACATGGCACTTTTGTAGCCAGCATTGCAAGGCATTTACATGCCAGATATGCTAAACATTCGTATGCCCCATCTGGCATGTAAATACCTTGCAACGCCAACTACAACAGTGCCATGCAAACGCCTGTTGTCGCTTTCCAGTGACATAAACAAGAAGCAGGCAGCATTATCGCCTGAATTGTAACCAACCTTGTTTGTCTGAGTGATTGGCTGGCCAAGAAGTAGGACTGAGTGGACTGGTAGGCTCTTAAAGTTTTACATTTTTATTTTTGAATGCAGTTTTTTTGTACATGATTCTACATTTGTAAGATCAACTTTCATGATAGAGATTGCACTACAGTACTTGTATGAGGTGAGTTGAAAAATTTTTTACAGTGCAAATATTTGTAGTCAAAGTTAATATAAAGTGAGCACTGTATACTTTCTATTCTGTGTAATTGAAATTACAATCTTTTAAAATGTAGCAAACATCCAAAAATATTTTAAAATGGTATTCTCTTTAACAACATGATTAATCATGTGATTTTTTTTTTTTAATCGCTTGACAGCCGTACTTTATTTATTTGGATGCTCCGCTTAGGATGCTCATCAGAAAGGTCCTGGCCTCTTTTAGGTGCTGGACGCCCACTCTCTGAAAACTAAGGGCCCTTTGAGATGTCAAGTTGAGCACCCAAAATCACTGGTCACCTCTGAAAAGTTGAAGCGTTGGACAAAGATTCCTACCTGAAGCCACTTTCAACTTTTTTTTGCATTAAAACTCCAGCACTAGACAGCACAATCCTGGAATAACTCTAGACTCTCATCTCTAACCAATATTTCCCATTTCTTCTCTCCAAAGCTTGGCTACCCCTCAGTGCTCCGGCTGGTATGGCACTCTGCCTGAGAGCGATAGCTGTGCGGTTATTCCCTGTCTGAGTGGACCTAAGCCAGACACCGCCCCACTGCTCTTCACGTGTAGTGATTTGGAAACTAACAATCACCACAGCTTATACTCCACGCCACAGAACTGAAGAACCCCACCAAGATTTGCTTCTCTTGGGGCAGCTTTCTTGGGAGTCCGATCATTTTCCAAACATCTAACTCCATCTGCACAAACATTCCATTCTCTCTTGCAGCTGTAAACCAGGACCTGGAGACTTAGGCTGTGTGTGGTATGTAAAACTGTTATTCATGGTACCGTGTAGCAAAGGGAAAGTGAAAAATCTCTGGGAGCTTTTTGGGAGGGAGGTCAAGTCTTCTCAAGATGCTCATTGGCAGCTAGAAGCCCCAGAGCTGACTCACTAGACCAACATCAGATGCATATTTGCACTTTTTTTATCTGCACGTTCTGAAGGAACACATCACGCTCCGACTTCCCTTTGGAACAGCCTGTGTCTGTTCCATGTTACTTTTAATTGCACATCCATGGCTGGGAGAGGTCATCCCGTGAAGACGGGCGCGTCAATATGTAGACCATGCTGTGCTCGGTGTCCTGATCCACTCCAAGGACACAATCTCTCTCTCTCTTCAGAGAAACTGTGTGGGATTTATACTAATGAAGAAAGTTACCTAATGTATAATGTGCCATATTCACAATACAAATTTAGTGTCTCTTTGCTGGGGATGTGGTCTTACTCTAACTTGGTCCTCATGTCAGCAGACTACTAAAATACTCTTAGTTGGACTGTGGGTTAAAGCAAACCTTAAAGCATGGGTGTGCGAAGGTCTTTAAAGGCCTGAGCTCAATGGCTGTTTCTAGCATGAAGGTCACTGAAAAGTAACTATCTCTGCTCTTTTAAACAGAAAAATGCCACCTAGAGCAAGCAGAATGAGTAGTTACTGTTAAGCTTGTGGAGAGAGCATGTGTCAATGAGGCATGCTCCTTGCCAGGTGGTTTCTTCAAGCAAACCTAGCAGTGAGTCTGGATAAGTGGCGCGAGCATTTTATTTTGGCCGAAACCAATACATAACCTGGCTTCTTTCATACTAGGATCTGTTCACTGCATTCCCTAGTGGAATCGGTGCTTAATCTGCCTTGGGGGATAATATCAATTTTATATTTAACCTGGCTGAATATAAACTAGAGGTCCTTCTTAGAACATGAAAACTTCTCTTCACTTTCATGGCAGCTTTCTCTGACAGAAATCGGGAAGCCTACAGTGTGGTACCTGTGCCGCTATTTGGGACTGCCTCAAAACTTCTAGTTCTCCTGTCTCTTCGTACTGTGTCTGAGGAATGAGTGTCCCATGACATTCCACTGAATGTAATGTAAAAGTAGTGCAACATGACCTGAACAAGGGGGACCCCCCATTGAAGTATTGGTAAATTTTGGCATCTCGTTGCAGCGTGTGCACTGGAGGGTGGGTGGGTCTAATGAGTGAGTAGCATTTAATGGAATGTGTAGGTTTTTTTAACGTCCAGGATTATATTCTGGCAGGAAGTTGGTCTTTAAATCACTTTTTTTAACTGTGTCCAAAAGCACCCTATTTAAAATAGGAAAGCAAGACGTGGCTGTGAGGATGCACAGGTGTTTAGATAGGCTCTAAAGTGAGCTGTTAAATACACTGTTGGTCTACACAGATTAGTAGCTCCTACAAGGAAAAGCATGCTTCTATGGCAAAGCTGCTATGGCTAGTGTAGGGCAGCCGCTCTCTCCAGCATCCCCAGGATCTCTCCACCTTACATTCCTTTAGAAGCTTAAACAGTTGGCATACGTTGCTGATGGCAGGAGCTGGTCCTGCCGATCAACTGCATGCACTTTCCAAGGGCGTGCTTAGTTTTTAAACTTGAATTAAGGTTTGATGTTAAAGTAGAACTTCACTGAGGGACTGAACAAGACCATGTCTGTAGGACAGTGGGGAAATGGCCCCACTAGACAAGTGGGGATACCGCTGGCACATGGAACATAACTGAAGTGACCGTCTAGCCTTAATGCTGATTCCCAGGCTTGCAGCTATATGGTGGGTGTGACGCACGTTTTCCAAGAATAAACTCTTGGTTCTCAAAGAAGATAGGGGCGACTGGGGGGCAGGCCTAGGATGTGTGTGGGGAAAGAACATTTGAGTGTATAGTGAGCAGATCTAAATCCTTGCTGTTACTGAGCTAGTTCTGAACCAGTTAGCTGGCAGACCAGGGACCCCCTCTCTCTGTATAACCCCCACCCAGAAACTGAGCAGCTGGCTTGAGGTGTAGGGGTACTCTAATGTCCTCACTTTCCTCTTTCGCTCCCTGGTCCAAAACAAAGGCAACCTGTACTCCTTCCTCTAAAGGCTCGGAGACTATTTTTGGCAGATCACTGGATCCTTCTTGCTCGAGCCAGAAAGGACTTAGGAAAACCATTGTCCCAGCTACTTTTATTTTAGCTACCATTGTAAGACCCGTCTCGTTGCCTAGGTTGGGATTCAGAAACCAGTTGCTCTGTCTCGATCGCTGCTTGACTTATGGTGAAACTAGTTAGGGACCTGAACTCCAGCCGCAGCCCTTCTCTTTCCCCCTCCCATAAGTCACCAAAGACGTGAAGTTCAGCCACTGGCCCCTGTTTTTGCTTAAAAGTCCAAAGCACTAGGAGCACTTTAAGTTTCCTTTGGAGGGAAGGGAGTGTTGTGCAAAAAAAAAAAAAAAGGGCTACAGACTCATTGTTCATATTGCACTGACGCACAGAACGACAATATGATCTTCCTCTCATTAGGATCACCGATCAGGGCAGTGAGTCTTGTTGCTTAAGTGTGTACTAGTGAGTGACTAGCAAACGTTTTGGTTTTTATTACTTTGTATGGATGGCCGTCAATTTCAGAACTCCGACAGCTCAGATTGGGGCCGGTCTTGTGTTTTACTGAAGTAATTTATAGCTGACGTGTACAATGACTTTTATATGCATAGTTGCCTTTCATTCCATATTTTTTTTGTAATGGTTTAACCGTTTCTCAGCTTCACAACCAGTCTAGAGCTGGTTGCAACAGGAAGCTGTGGCCAATGAATGTACCTATTTGTTGTTGTTCACTAAACTGTAACCAAGCACTATGTGGAATAAATTCTCCTGTGCTATTTATGGGCATCTGGGCTGAATTCTGTTCCCGGTGCTGCCTTCAGTTAGGCAACTAGGGTCTCTGCATCACTTGTCCACTGGTCCGTGGACTCTACCCAAGTTTGAAATGATTTTAAAGCCATGTGACTTCTCTTCTCCTCCTCCTCCTCCTTCTCTCTTTCGCCCCCCCACCCCACCCCCAATTGCTGCATTCCTGCACGGAGAGCCAGCTTCCACACACTTGCTAAAGGGACACATCTAAAGAGACTGAGTGCGTAAGTCTAAGAGGAATCTTCTGGCTTGAACAAACTGGGGAAAGTGATACTACTGTTTGGGTCTTGTGCTCCCTAACAAGCATTCCCCGTGGCACATCTTGTAGGATTACTGTCCAAATGTGGATCAGCTGGAAAGGTCCAGTGACTTTTTTGATGCAGGAAAACCACAAGCATAAGAGCCCAGTCTGCAACTTGCCAATCCACGAGGTGACTTGGGGCATCTTAGTGACTCTGTATCTGTAATGAGCAGTGTGTGTCTGTCTGTCTGTCTGTCTGCAGCTTGGAACAGAATGAAGAGGTGTGGGCAGGAGGGCTGAGGGCCTAGCTTTCCTCAAGGGGAGGTGCAAGCTACCCTTGACATAGCCTCTCACCCCTCCTGCCCACACCTCTTCATTCTGTTCTGCAACCCTCCATCTCTGTTCCTGGGAATGTAGAAGGAAAGGGTTCTGGCACTCCTCTCCCTAATTCGTAAACACAAGCTGTGCGGTTGGAGCAGCTGCCATGCTTGAACAGAGTTTCCCTTTATGGGGGGACACACTTCTGGCCTGTGCACCCAGCCTTGATTCTAGCCAGGTGCCCCCGGGGGCATGTGGCAAGCTCAGAGCCCACCCTCTGCTGTAACAAGGCAGCTGAGTGGGTTGAAGCTCTGGGCCCTGGAGGAGGATATACTTAAACTTTTTTTGGGGGGGAGACAACACACCAGGCACTAGGCACATGCACACAGCCAGTAAAGGCTATGGGGGCAGCACCTACGCAGCCAGTAACATGCACAAAGGGAGAGTGGACAAGGCACCCTAGGTATGTGTGTCAGGTGGTGTGGGGAGAGGGGGCCATTACAGTGATGAGAGGCTGTGGGCCTAGCCCCCCACATCTCTTCACTTCCCTCTGGCCTGATTTCACATGGTTCCAGGCCTGCAGCTGTGTGACACTTCCTGGTTCTTGCCCTCTACCTTGGCCAGCAGCTCCTGGGGATGACCACATGGGCCATTATTTCCTCCACTTCCCTAGTACCCTGGCTTGCCCATCTCCTCTGTACCAGGAAACCTCAACCCCTGCCAGTGCTAGGCCTGTTACTACCTGCCCCCCTCCCTTTGCATGGCACAGTGCGAGGGAGGTGGAGTAATGGACCAGGCCTTGCCAGTGGCCACCCTCCCACTGCTCGTGTGTTTTCCCCTTCCCCACCCCACCCATTGTCCTATTTCAATCCTAAGCTCTTCAGAGCAGGGCCTGTTGCCACTTGCGCCTGTACAGCACCTATCCCCATAGCACTACCCTGCTAAACGTGGTCAATATAACACAGGCTGGGCCTAGCTCTCGGCTCAAAGGGCATTCCATGTCCACCCTTCTCTGCAGTGCCCAGTGACCGAAAACAAAATGACTTGTGGCTGTTGCATAGAGGCAGCCTGCCCTCCTCATGACACACACCCACTCTCAGTGGTAGAGCAGAACTTGTATGCTCAGTCACTAGTTTACCATCAAGTTTTCTGCTGTCAACTTAAAAAATCCACCCATTTCCCTAAGGGAGCATGTGACCCTAGCCGCTGCTGCCATCAGTCATCAAACAGCAAAAGTCTGAGGTGATTGCCTTCCAGAAACTCTGTTTAACTAGGGTGGGGTTGTATTGAACAATGAAACCTCATGGTGGATGTTGCCAGATGTGATGGAGGTTAGTTAAAAGCCAGGGCTTGGGGCAGGGAAATACATGCGGCTGGCACAAGCAGGAAACTGAGGGCTGGCAGCAGAGGAGGGGAACCAACAGGTTCTCCCCAATTTTGCTGCTGCTGCTCAGGAAAAAGTGGTGAGCGAGAGCAGGGGCTCTGCACTTGACAAAGATCTTCTCTGTGTGCTACTGCGTGGGGGAAGGAATTGCTCTTTCCAACCAACAATGATGGAGGACCAAGTCCCTACATTTGTTGCCCACTTTTGCAGAGGGGAACATAGTGCCTGACCTGTTGCAGCTGGGATAGTTATTGGAGAGCTAGGAACTAATACAAAAGGATCTTGAACGACACAAGGCTGTTGGCCAGGCTATGAGGAAGAGAAGAGACGTGCTCATGCACACTTCTTCCCTGTACATGCCAGGCTGGTGGAGCAGGGAAGAAGAATGTCCCCCCATCCTGAGAGCAGCTTGTGGGAAATCCATACTAGCCAAGGTAAGGCATATTGAGAATGAAAGCCAGGACCAGGGCCCAGAAATGGCCCTCTTGGGGGAGGAGGGGGAAACCCTGGCATTCATTTTCCCTGCACCTTGTGCATGTGTAGAATCATAGGACTGGAAGGGACCTCAAGAGGTCCAGTCCCCTGCACTCATGGCAGGACTAAGTATTATCAAGACCATTCCTGACGGGTGTTTGTCTAACCTACTCTTAATCTCCAATGATGGCGATTCCACAACCTCCCTAAGCAATTTATTCCAGTGTTTAGGAAAAACTTCCTAACTGTCAGGGTGGTTAATGTCCAACCTAAACCTCCCTTGCTGCAATTTAAGACCATTGATTCTTGTCCTATCCTCAGATTAAGAACAACTTTTCTCCCTCCTCCTTGTAACAACCTTTTATGTACTTGGAAAACTATGTCCCCTCTCAGTCTTCTTTTCCAGACTAAACAAACCTAGTTTTTTCAATCTTCCTTTGTAGGTCATGTTTTCTAGACCCTTTTTTTTTTTGTTCTCTGGACTTTCTCCAATTTGTCCACATCTTTCCTGAAATGTGGCATCCAGAACTGGCCACAATACTCCAGTTGAGGCCTAATCAGCAGAGTAGAGCAGAATAATTACTAGTTTTACTTACAATACTCCTGCCAATACATCCCAGAATGTTTGTGGGTGGTATTTTTTTTGTTTTGTGTTGCAAGCAAAAAAAAAAAAAACCACACACCAGTCTTACACTGACTCATATTTAGCTTATGGTCCCCTATGCCCCCCAGATCCCTTTCCACAGGACTCCTTCCTCGGCAGTCATTTCCCTTTTGTATGTGTGCAACTGATTGTTCCTCCTTAAGTGGAGTACTTTGTGTTTGTCCTTAGGATGAAATTCAATATTTACATCAGACCATTTCTCCAGTTTGTCCAGATCATTTTGAATTATAATCCTATCCTCCAAAGCACTTGCAACCCCTCTCAACTTGGTATTGTCCACAAACCTTAAGTGTGCTCTGTATGGCATTATCTAAATCACTGATGAATATATTGAACAGAATCAGCCCCAGAACTGATCCCTGTGGGACTCCACTCGTGATGCCCTTCCAGCATGACACTGAACCACTGAGAACTACCCTCTGGGAACAGTTTTCCAACCAGTTTTGCACCCACCTTATAGTAGCTCCATCTAGGTTGCACTTCCCTAGTTTGTTTGAGAAGGTCATGCGAGACCATATCAAAAGCTTTACTAAAGTCAAGATATATCAATCTACTGCTTCCCCCCCTATCCACAAGGCTTGTTACCCTGTCAAAGAAAGGTTTGTTTGACTATTTGTTCTTGACAAATCCATGCTGACTGTTACTTATCACCTTATCTTCTAGATATTTGCAAACTGATGGCTTAATTATTTGCTCCATTATCTTTTCAGGTACGGAAGTTAAGCTGACTGGTGTGTAATTCCCCAGGAATTACAGAAGTTTCTCACCTGCTGAGGGAGATGTGCCAGTCTCATCTCAGCCTCTGGGGAAGAAATGTCTGGCAACCTTTAAGACCTGCTGTGATTGCTGATGCACTGAGATTCATTTGTATAGAACCATTCTTGATTTGACTAGAAGTATCCAACTCGCATATTGTACTCAACTACCTTTCTAAAATAGGGTTAAGGGAAAAGTGTAGTCAGAGCAAATACTGTTTTAGGCTTTGTCTACACAAGGTTTCACCAGTTTCACTTTAACTGGATTTTTAAATGATTTAAATTGATGCAAACCTCTGTGTGATCACTTATAGCAGTAAGAAAAGGAGTACTAATGGCACCTTAGAGACTAACCAGTTTATCTGAGCATAAGCTTTTGTGAGCTACAGCTCAAACTGATTCCTAACTGACTTAAGCTAAACTGAAAGAAGCCTGGTTTAAAACTGAAATAAAGTGCATCCATGCAGGGATTTGCACTGGTTTAGAATCACACCTTTATTTCAATTGGTGCAGCTTTCCCCTATAGACAAACCTAGAGCAACAGAGAGCAGTTGTCCTTTATATCATCAACCATGAAGTTTAGGTGGCTCCTCCAAGCTACGCTGTAGTATGCCCCAGGACTGTACCAAGTGAAGAGTGTTTCTATTTTACACTCTCTCAAAATGTTGCCTTTAAAACAACTTAAATGGTGGGGTCTGGAAAAAACTATTGAACACAGACAACCCCTAGTGAGTTACTGTAGTTGTATTTTGTATTTCTGCATTTGTCCAGTGTCACATTTTCACCAAGACTGTCAATTTCTGAAGGTAAACAAAAACAGATAAGTTTTATCAAAGGAAGGAGTGCAGCACATATTTAATCATTAGTCAATCATTCAAAATTATCTTCAAAAAATAAAAACTGATCATTTTACTTTACACAATCAAATTTTTCCCCCACCCCTTTACAAAAAGCAGCTGCTTTGTACAAAAGATTTGGTCTCAGCAGGTTACTGCTGCAATCATTCTGTAAAGTGAAGAGTTCTTCCAGTGTCTTTTCCCTATTGGTTGTCTGAAGTGTGAAGGAAACCTGATTTTTCCTCTGTTTTATAGAAAACAGAATAAAAAAGGTAATTTAAGTCTTTTTCTGAGAGACAAATTCACTACATATTTCGTAACAAGTTCTTGAAGTTTTCCAGCTCTCTAATGCTAGTTGAAATCCTGTATGCAAGAGAAAGGAGGAAAAAAGGTAAGAGAAATCTAAAATACACAAGGACTCATTTTAAATGTTTTTATATAAATGCAAATAACATTAGAAAACAGTTCTTGCAGCTAAGGATTTTTGCATGTTAAAAGGAATTATGGAACTGAAACAAGTTTTGCTGACTCATTTTAAAGCCATATGTAAATTATACATTCTTAATCGTGGTAACAGAAGCGGGCCCCTCATAAATAGAACGTTAGCTAAGGTGTGGTCAAATACGGTTGCTCAACAGAGGTTGTCATGAAGCCATCTATAAAATTAAAACAGCCATTCAGAAAGGCTGTCGAAACAACTTACAGATAAACTGGTGTTTGTTTTTAAAAGTTTCTGAATTGCACACCCCAAGTCATTTTATTGCAAAATGCACTTTGCTATAGGAGGTTTGGCATCAGTGAGAGAACCACCAGGGCAAGTCCCTTGCTTAACTTCCCATATTATAACAGCAATCTGTGCTCCTTCATTTGTATCCTTTTTTCCTTAACAGAGGATACTGACTAGCTGATTTGAAAGTCATTTACAAACATATGATGAAGAAATGAACATTTCAGTTTGTCTTGATGTAGTTAAATGTTTGTTTTACAAAGCACTTCCAGCCCATATAGATGGGAAGATAAAGTGGAATGAAAGCCCTGATTGCTGGATACAGCTTCAGATTGGAGTTGACTCCTGCACGGTACTTTAGCACATAAAAGGACTTGGGGGGGGGGGAAATGATGGGGGGGTGGAGAGGGGGGAAATTTGTGTCACTGATCAGCTTCCTTTGGAAATATTCACCTGTGGCATGCTCCCAATTTCATACAAGCTGTTTTCTAAGGTACCACTAAATCAGCACATTTAAAAAGTGAATCTCAGGCTAGCCTGAGATTCTTTTTTTAAAAGGATAGGAGCAGCACTCAGTGGTTTGTTTTTTTGCCTCTCCGCACAAGCTGAAAAATGTCAACCTGCTGAAGAAAGTGCTTAATGTTTTCCAGACCAACTTATCTACCCTGGAGTTTTCCCCCTGCCATGTGCTACCAACTGGCGTTAGAGGATAAAACTCAGAGGCTTGGTTTGAAATTAATTTAGCTATAAACCAGGACTACGAAACTTTAAAAGCCAGTAACTTGGTGCAAAGAATCTCACAGAAAACCCCTGTGAGCCAACTAAGAACTCCAGACCTGTTAACGGAACAAAGGTATGGCGTGTAACCAAAACATCTTTCAATAACGTCTTTCTTTTGAAAGGTTTTTTTTCCACAGTTACTGCCAAACAAACCTCCCCAGCTCCCAAAGAGCCTGATTGATGGATGTCTGTTAAACAGAACTCTTGCAAATAAATGTTTTAAAAGTAAACTGATACAACTTCGAAACTTTAAAGGTCAGCCTCCACATTAAACAGAGACCTAAAAATGGGTACCTTTGTTGGACAATGTGTTCCTAAAACAGATACATGCAATTTCTTACAGACTTCTGAATTCTTCATATGAGAGCCTTAAGCATTATCTTTAAATCATAGAAAATGAAACAGAGAACATTATTGCTTACTCCTACTTTAAACTGTATCAAAACAATCAACTGAAATTTAGAACTGTAATCATCAGGAAGTCTGCTCATCTTTTAAAGAGTTAATGCTGCAGTTACTAATCACAGTATACTTTATTTGTATGCACCACCTTACATTTTATTTAGATTGGAAAAAAGCAAAACACAGAATTTTAAACTAACCTTCCAAAGGCATTAAAGAAGGAGACTATTTCTTGTCTCGTTAGCTGGAATCCATAAGAGGGGCCACTTTCTGGCATGTTTTCTATCAGTTTTTGTGAAAAGAGGATCTTCAAAGCTGTACCCAAGCCCTGAGTCTGTGCAGTATAAATATAACAGTAAGTGTGCCATTTGATTAGCAAATTAACTTCATTTCCCATCACTTTATTTGAACAGATTAATACAAACAACAAAGTCATTTTTGAGTGGGTTCATTTATTAGGCATGTATATTTCAGTAGTACCTAGGAGCCCCAGACATGCACCAGGACCCCTTGCACTAGGCCAGAGGTGGGCAAACTATGGGCTGGATTCGGCCCATCAGGGCTTTGGATCCAGTCTGTGGGATTGCCAGCCCTGTGGCACAGGGATTAAGGCAGGTTCCCTGCCTGCCCTGGCCCCATGTCACTCCCAGAAGTGGCTGGCACCATGTCCCTGTAGCCCCTGGGGGAGGGGGCAGAGGGCTCTGCCCACTGCCCTCACCTCCAGGCACCACGCCCATTGGCCAGGAATAGGGAACCACAGCCAATGGCAACTTTGGGGGAGGTACCCGCCGGCAAGGGAAGCATGCAGTCTCCTCTGGCCATCCCACCCTCCCCTAGGGGCTGCAGGAATATGGTGTCTGCCGCTTCTGGGACTGGCACGGGGCCAGGGCAGGCAGGGAGCCTGCCTTAGCCCCAGTGCATGCTGCTGCCACCCCAGAGCCACTCAAGGTAAGCAGTGCCAGGCTGGAGCCTGCACCCCAACCCCCTGCCCTGAGCCTCCTCCCGCACTCTGCACCCCCCCACACACACCGCACTCCCTCCCGCACCCAAACCCCCTGCCCAAGCCCTACATTCATGGGCCTGCATGCAATTTCCCCACCCCAATGTGGCCCTCAGGCCAAAAAGAGTTTGCCCACCCCTGTGCTAGACTGTGCTAAACTGTAAAAATGGAACAAATTGCTTATTGGACTTACTTGCAACTTTCCCCAAAGGCGACATTTTAAACACCCAACACAGTCCATAATTCTAGAAATATTCCTAAAATGGAGCCTAAATTCTTCCTTTAAAAAAAAAAATAGGACTTTTAAATACAGAACATCGTTGTTACATGGTTAAGAGATTTAAAAATCACATGTCAATTAGTTAGTACCTAAAGAAATGCTTTCAGGTATTGGGGGCTCTATCAGGCAGGCTGTACCCTACACTTACTAGACAGGTGTTGTGGTGCATCTGAGCTTTCTACATTATCAGACATGCTAAGAAAACTAGTGAATATGTTTACTCCAGTTGGATATTTCTGGTCTAGTAACTTAAGCACATCAATGTCTTACGATATCCTATTCAGTCTGATAACCCAGTGTGAGAAGTCCTTTATTCTGTCAGCAAGTAGTTTCAGGAAGGGGGACACAAGGTGAACAATTACCTTTAATTTAGCAGCTTCCTTTTTATTTCCAGCAAAAAATGAGTTTTCATCAAAGTGCAAAGGGAAAGACCTGAAGCAAGAAAAAAGAGTGAAATTTCCAAAAATCCTTAAGTGACAGGAGCTTACATCCTGTTTAAGTGATTTAGGCACTTTGGCTCCTAAGTCTCATTGAAAGTCAAAGGCAATTAAACAGCTAGGTCACTTAGTCTAATTTCCATTTTCAAGAGTCATTTGGGCTCTGAATCTCTACTTTACAGTATCATTTAAATCTATTGCATACACATAAAAATTCTCTAATTTTTATAATAAAAATGAGTTATCCATGTCTCAGTCACCAACAATAGGCAACCAGGCATGGGAAACTGACGAACTACAGCATCTCCCTCTGAGGCAGAGGGCCAGATTCTAATCTTAGTTAACTGACATGCCCCATACATCCTATAATAGAGTCTCGCCCTATATCCAAGACCATCGCTTTTTAGATGTTTAAAGTTATTTTGGACTGCAGTGTAAAGCTAGTACTAGAGTTCCGCAGATCAGTCAGATAGAAAGTAAGTTTCAGAAGTGACAGCTAAACAAACAGTTATTAAACTCAAAAAGAACAGGAGGACTTGTGGCACCTTAGAGACTAACAAATTTATTCAAGCATAAGCTTTCGTGGGCTACAGCCCACTTCATTGGATGCATAGAATGGAACATATAGTAAGAGATAATATATATATATAACACACACACACATAAGTTGGAAGTTCTCACAGAAACTGTGAGAGGCTAATTAGTTAAGATGAGCTATTATCAGCAGGAGAAAAAAAACTTGTGTAGTGATAATCAAGACGGCCCATTTAGACACTTGACGACAAGGTGTGGGGATACTTAAGGAAACAGATTCAATAGGTGTAATGACCCAGCCACTCCCAGTCTCCACCCAAACCTAAGTCAATGGCATCGAGCCTGCACACCAATTCAAGCTCAGCAGTTTCTCGCCGGAGTCTGTGTTGGAAGCTCCTCTGCTGCAAAATTGCCACCCCCAAATCTTTTGCTGAGTGGCCAGAGAGGTTGACGTGCCCTCCCACTGGTCCTCAAAGGTTATGATTCCCAAGGTCAGACCTGTCCCCACTCTTCTGCGTAGAGACGGTCCGGTTTGGCCAATGTCCATGGCAGAGGGGCACTGCTGGCACATATCACACTGGTCGATTGTGCAGGTGAACGAGCCCCTGATGGCAAGGCCAATGCGACTAGGTCCCATGATGGTGCCATCTGAATAAATGTCGACAGAGTTGGCATCGGGCCCTGGCAAGGATAGGTTGGCAAAGATAGGTTCCTGGGCCAGTGATTTTTGTTGTGTGGTTGCTGGTGAGTATTTGCTTCAGGCTGGGGGGCTGTCTGCCAGCGAGGACCGGTCTGTCTCCCAAGATTTGTGAGAGTAAGGGACCATTTTTCAGGACAGGTTGTAAATCTTTGATGATGCGCTGGAGAGATTTTAGTTGGGGGCTGAAGGTGACAGCTAGTGGCGTTCTGTTATTTTCTTTGTTGGGCCTGTCCTGCAGTAGGTGACCTCTGGGTACTCCTCGGGCTCTGCCAATCTGTTTTTTCACTTCAGCAGGTGGGTATTGTAGTTGTAAGAATGCTTGAGAGAGATCCCGCAGGTGTCCATCTCTGTCCAAGGGACTGGAGCAAATGCAGCTGTATCTCAGAGCTTGGCTGTAGACAATGGATCATGTAGGTGTGGTCTGGATGAAAGCTGGAGGCATGTAGGTAAGCATAGCGGTCAGTAGGTTTCCGGTATAGGGGGTGTTTATGTGGCCATCGCTTATTAGCACAGTAGTGTCCAGGAAATGGACCATTTGAGTGAATTGGTCCAGGCTGAGGTTGATAGTGGGATGGAAATTGTTGAAATCATGGTGGAATTCCTCAAGGGCTTCTTTTCCATGGGTCCAGATGATGAAGATGTTCATATTCCAACTTATTCATGATATCTTCGTGTGTGTGTGTGTGTGTGTGTGTGTGTTCCATTCTATGCATCTGATGAAGTGGGCTGTAGCCCATGAAAGTTTATGCTCTAATAAATTTGTTAGTCTCTAAGGTGCCACAAGTACTCCTGTTCTTTTTGCGGATACAGACTAACACAGCTGCTACTCTGAAACCTGCCATTATTAAACTCAGTTCTGCAAAAGCTTAAAGACAACCTAAACTATTAAACAGGGGGTTTAGTACCTGGTTTGACCGTTTGAATTCAGTTACCGGGGCAAGTCACTTAGCCTCTCTGTGCCCCAGTTCTCCATTGTACAATAGGGATAACACACTGCCCTGTGCCATCGGGGTGTTAAGTTAAATACATTACAAGAATGTGAAGCGCTTTGAGATCTACTGATGAAAAGCTCTGAGAGAGCTAGGTATTATCACTACTCAGAGCACACTGGAATAATAATAATTAAAATAATTAGCTGACCCATACCATCCCACTACAGAAAAAAATCTTATTTTCTAAAACATTTTAAGAAGGAGAATATAAGATTCATAGCTGCACACTATTCCCTTTCCAGCATTATTTACTTGGTTAGGTGAAGGATTTCCAGCAGTTGGTTTTTGGTTTGTGTGTCTCTGTTTTTATTCCCCGTGAATAACTGGAATCCTGGGCGCTCAAAGAATGGCAGAACTTTTGACATCGCCCGTAATTCAATTAGGTAGAGGAAATACAGGTTCTTGAGCCTCTTAGAACCTTCTCCTTGAGTAAGGACTTCATCAAATCTGTGCTGAAACTCAGTAATGTTGTGTCCCCACGTCGTCCCCAACCACGTATCTGAGAGAGGAGAAAAAAGGGGAAAGGGCGGCTTTGAAAATTGGGCAGTAAACTTCTTTCCCACTATGGCATGCATGTGGTTAAAGTTAATTTTTAGAATTTAATGTTTACAAAACTCAGGCTTGGTCCACACACAAAGTTGCACTAGCTTTCTATACGGATTTAAAACCCTGTGTAGACATTCTTAAATCATCTTACTGGCTTATATTGGTAAATTTACAGGTACAACCTAAATCAAGTTAACCAGTTTTAAACTGATCTATGCAGGTCTAAACTGATGCAACCCTCTTGGTAATTAAATCTGTTTTAAAAACAAACTTTTAGTTAAGCTGGTGTAATTTGCATGAACACGAGGCCTTAGCAGTATCCAATCCACTGATCTCTTAGTTCAGCATACATTGATTGATGCCCCAATTTCCTTTGTCTCTTCATTCCTACCCTCAAAAACCATTAACTCATTGCAAAATTCAGAGAGAGGCATCTTTGTTATGGGACGATTTCCTGTGCAGGAAGACAGACAGGGAAAACAGCTTCCCTGTTTTATTGCAACAAGAATTAATGCTGGACCCAGAGCTTCAGGCACCCCCGGATGAAATGAGTGATGTCCTTGCACTGAGAGGTGTTGTGCTGCCTTTTTAACTAGACGTGCAGCAAAATAAAAAGTGATTTGTCCAAATGAGGACTAGTGAAAATATTTTTAGTGTTCAAGCTCCTAAAAAAAAAAAAAAATTCTGTAAACAAGAGAGAAACTACATACAAACGTAAGAGATGTAACCACCATCCGGTGGCTAACTGACACGCAGTGTTGGATAAAGAGACACCTTTGGCGCAGGTTACAGATACTTAACCAGCGAGTCTGTTAAACAAGAACTGCTGTACTAAGAAGTCTTAAGGAATCCTGTAATGTGTGCAGTTGTCTGTCTGTACAAGCAATGTATTACAATTCTTGGCCAATTCTGAGGAGTGAGAGGTCATTTAAATCATGCTACTGAGAAGTGTGGACCAAAATTTTCAAAGCTGGGTGTCTAAATTCAGGCATCTAGTCCATATTTAGGTACCTCAAGAGAAGCAGTGTACATGTTCTGGGAAAAGTTAAAGAATCTTGGAAAAGCTTAACTGAAGAGATCAGAATGCCTGCGAGAAATTACTGCTAAACTTATTGTAACAAGCAAAGCACGAAGTTACTCCAAAATGAGCTGTGAGGAGACTCTGGAGGAGCGTAAGGGGCAAAGGCCAGCCATTTTCAACCCAGAGTGCCTAAAGTGAGCCACATTCCAGCAGTTCAGTACGAGGTGCGGAACGCCGGCAGCTCCATTCAGTAGCAATGAGATATGTGGATGCTCAGCACTTCTGAGCATGTGCCGGTTTTGATTCAGGTGCCCAAATTTGGATTCAGGAGCCTAAATTTATGGTTGAAATTTTTGGCTTTGGTTTCCAAATTTTTAAAAATTTAAGACTTCTAAAGGCATTTGGATAATTGCATACCCAACCTCGTGCGTCTCATTTCCACACCCAGCTGTCATCTGTGTATAAGGGAAGTATGAGAAGAACGAAGGGAGAAGAGAAGGAGAGCGAAGCTGGACCCAAACCCTGCTGAAATGGGCTACCAGCTAGTATTTTACGAAGCAGTGGAAGTCCATTCCCATCTGAGCTGACTGCAGAAGCAGCCTGGCTCTTAGCGAAATAAGGCAGAAAGTCACACTCACCTTGCAAGAGGTACCTGGCGCTCAAATGGATGTTGATGCTTGCATGTAGGCCAGAAATCAGTTTGTAGAAAGCTCTCTTCTCTACGCAGAGGCCTGAAAGGAAAACGAGTCGAAATGTAAAATAATAAAGCGGATGTTTGAATTTCCTTCCCTTGGTGTTATCAGAGATCTAATTTAATCACAGTTTGCTTTGGCAATTAATACCCCGCTCCCCCACCACCACAGAAAGTCCACTTTGTATCACTCACAAAAAACAAAACAAACCATTACCTTCCAGCCAACTGTAAAAGGAATTCCCTGGAAATGAAGAAACAAACAGTCACGAGAGCTTTGACAAGGAAAATTTTGCACATTCACCAAAATAAATCACCTAAAACATGGTACAAATTTGTTCAATGCTGTTCTCAGAGCACACAAAACCATTAGGAAAAAGTTACAGGCTAAGAGAGAATCCATGTATCTCCGTTCCTATGAGGTCATTCTTGTCGTAACATCACAGTTGGTTATGGTGTCACAGTAGGAATGTACATAGTAAGGTGATGATCTGCCAATCAGAACACCACAGCCAGACCTCTGAACCAATCAATGCAGAGCTGCAAAGACTGGGGTGAGATTGCACAGGCAGAAAAGTTTGCCCATACCAATTTGATTGCAGGGTTGGGGCCTAGCTGCATTTTGCAGGTTTTTCCAAGAGAGAACACACAAAACCCCGCTGAAAGAGCCTCCCAGCTGACTGGCACCAATGTCAGACTCGACATTTGCTAGCAGCTAAAGACAGAATACTGACACTGTAGCAAAGCAAAGTTTAGAGTCTTTTCCACCCATATCAGCAGGAGCTGGGATCACTGCACTGCAGAATACACAACCCCAGGGGAAGTGGTGGGCAACAGCTTGCATCCCTTTTTGGGAGGGGAAGAGGGAACAAATGGTTTTTATTGTTGACAGAAGACACAACATTATAACAGAGAAATAAAAACAATACGAAGGTCAGTGTGATCTACAGCCATCTCATAAACCGGGACTTTGTATTTGCTCACTGCTGCGTGATGGAAGAAAATGCAGAGAAAGAACACAAGCAGAAAGAAACAAGCCACAGGGAACAGGCAGAGCATGTGCACAGGGCTCAGTCCTGCAAGGCACTAAATACTCCTACGATGTATACAGCGCCCTCAGCTTTGAAGGTAATAGGAGTTGAGGACATTTTGGCATCTCACAGGAGCAAGCCCTTGAAAGCATGAGATAGGTGCCAGCTGCTATTGACTTTCAGTGATGCTGGGTGTTTAGGTTCCTGTGAAAAGCCCCAGTCTTATGGCATTGCTTCACGTAAAAGCAGCTCCCTCTGCCACAAATGAACTAGCATTAACAGAGTTATAAAACACACCACCGCCACACCAAAACAAGCGAGCCCCGTCCAGGTCTTATGGGATGGGGTTTTGAAAAGCACCGGGGGGCTTGTCTACACAGTCAACAAACAAACAAACAAACCAGACCCAAGGCAGCAAGTCTCTGAGCCTAGGTCAACTCCCTCGGGCTCAGGCTGCGGAGTGAAGAATAGCTATGCCTATGTTCAGGCTCTCGCTGGAGCCCAGGCTCTGAAATCCAGCAGGGGGGAAGACTCCCAGAGTCTGGGCTCCGGCCTGAGCAGCTAACCTGCTATTTTTAGCCCCACAGTGCAAGCCCTCAGCTGATCCAGGAACCTGTGCACCTAAAACCCTTTGGCTCTTTTGAAAACCCCACTCAAAGGCTGTTAGCCTCAAGTATGGGGCATGTTCTCTTCAGGAGTCGCAGAGATTCCTAGATTCTAAGGCCAGAAAGGACCATTGTAAACATCTAGTCTGATCTCCTGTATAACACAAGTCAGAGAACTCCCCCCCCCCCCCCCCCAATAATTCCTACAGCAGATCTTTTAGAAAAACATCCAATCTTCATTTAAAAATGGTCAGTAGTGCAGAATCCACCAGGACTCTTAAATTAGTTGTTCCCATGGTTAATTATTCTCAGAGTTAAAAGTTTACACCTTATTTCCAGTCTGATTTTGTGTAGCTTCAACTTCCAGCCATTGGATTGTGTTATACCTTTCTCTGCTAGGTTGAAGAGCCCGTTATTATAGATTTGTTCCGTATGTAGGAACTTAGAGTGGTCCAGTCACCCCTTAACTTTCTCTTTGTTACGCTAAGCGGATTGTAGCTGTAAAGCTAAATAGATCCATGCAAGAGAAACTGAACAAAGGAAGATTTCAAAACTATTCCCATTTTTGCTTGCCTTGCTGACTATGCTAACTCTTCAGATTGTGGAAGAGGCAGAGGCAAAAAGTTCTGTATCCATTTTTTTTTTTCCTGACCACAACAGAAATCAACACAAGTCACTCACCATCATCATCTCCTGGGGGGAGGGGGAAAAACAACAACAAAAATTACATCACTAGAATTAATTCCAAAGTGTAAAGACTATCCAGATATTGTTGTTAAATCGGCTCAGACAAGAGAATAAGTAGTGTTACCAGTGTTTAAAAGCATTGTATACGTGCGCGTTAGATTATCTCAAGCTGGTGCAGTAAAGGTACGAGATAAGCAGAGTGCTTTGAGAGACTGACTAGCACGGAAGTAACTGCTACAAGGTATTAAGATCACTCCCAAGGGCTTTGGGGGAAGAAAAATGATCACAGGATTAGTAAACACAGGACTGGAAGGTAGGTGACCTGCTTTCCTCTTTCCACCTCTGCCACAGACTTCCCACGTGACTTGGGTAAGTTATTTAGGGACCTATCCAAAGCTCATTCACGGCTAAGGGAAGACTCACATTGACCTCAATGGGTCAATCTTTGTGTACCTCATCTGCAAAATGGGGATTTCTCCACTTACCTTCTCATGTGGACAAGACAAAGCTGAAGTTACACACACAGTACAATGAGATCATCAGAAGGCGGCACTCTTATTTTATTTTCCTTTGTCTATTTTGTCCAGCTACATTGCTCTTTGAGCATACTCTCATTTTCTTCATGTGTTAAAGAATGAACTGCAGGAGCTTTTGCGGACAGAATTCAGATTCTTTTAAATCAAGTGAAAACCCAGTCCCCAGACTTCTCTTTTGCTAACGCCCATGGTTAAAATTAGCTGTCAACACAGATGCCTGGACTGCTGCAATTGGACAAATGTTTTTTCCGGCTTTCATACATAAGAGCTAGCATGAACAATGGGGTTAGATTTCAAATGAAGAGGAGAGAGGCAGTGTGGTCTAGTGAATAGGGTATTAGACTGGGTGTCAGGAGACCCCGGTTCTATTCCCAACTCTGCAATTGAGTAGCTGCGTGTCCTGGGTCACTTCACCTCTCTGACTCTGTTCTCCTTGCCACCCTTTGTTCATCTTGACTATTTAGATCATAACCCCTAGGGCAGGGTCCATCTCTTACTAGATGTTTGTAAAGAGGCTAATACAATGGAGGCCTTATTTCATAGGGACATTCTTAAATGCCCTTAGCATCTTCAAGTATAAAAAGTGAGTGCCCATATACCAATCCTGTTCCCAGTCAACGTCAAAGCTCACGTTGATTTCAATGGTGCTGACTCAGACTGTTTTTCCTGGGCTGTTACACAACAAAACATCATCCCTCTGCAATGTCCTTTATGGTACACACACAGTTCTAGGCTTGATCTAAATCATTTTTCTTTTTAATTCAGAGAGCCAGCATAAATAGCTTTTATCATTAAGGCCACTAAAACTCATGGGCTGCCAAATAGCTTAGTGGGATGAATAAATGACTCACCTCTGCCAGAAGCCAAGGGATTTAAAGGTCTTTCTATGGTCCGAGGCCTAAGAGACAAAATAATTTAAATATGTAATATCACTATGTATGGAACAGTCACTTGGCTCTGCAAAAACATTTTACAAGTTCATAAAAGTAAAACAACCCAGACTGGCGTAGAACTGTTTCCTCTGCCCATGCAGATTTCAAGGTGGTGGCAACACAAAAAAGAAGAGGAATTGTGCCCCATGTGGATTTTCTTTACGCATTACCAAAAAAAAATCTTTTTGTTACACTCTGATGTGCCCCACAACAGCAATCCCAGAACACAAGGAAATCGAAGCAAGACACACAGGCCGGTTGTCAATCAGCACATATAATAACCATGAACCGGTTAAGTCAGCAACAGTCTGAACAAAACAAAGAAACAGTCCAAAGAACAAGGTATGTAGCAGCAGGCTTTGAGTAACCCTGCACACACCCAACGCTACTCACATCCAGGAGCAGGAACCAGAGCACTGAATTCAGGAGGCAATAAGCAGGAAGGCAAAATGCCCCCCCCACACACACACACCAGTTTCCTTCTCTTCTCCCCAGAAGGTCAGCAGTACCTTGCCAAAAGCACCAGGTGATCCTGTAGGTTATACCTCGGATTCAGCTCAACTTCCCCAACTGGCCACGTGACATCGGCACACACAGAAAGGAGTGTCCTCCTCCCTCTCCGTTCCCCTGTCAGTAGGCAGGATCTCTCTCGCTGGTTAACGACACATTCTCCATGTGATAAACACACTCGCCACAGTCTGTACCCTGCAACCCGCAAGATCACGTCACGAGTCTCAAAAATGCTTCCAGACCCTTGCCTAACATACACCATGTGTCCAGGATAGAATGCATAGATTCATGCATGGATACACTTTCTGAAACTCGCATATTTCCTAGTCACATCGGCTTTGAGGATGGCAAAGAGGTGGGATCAACCTTTTCTGTCAGCATAGACAAGTTGGTGCTCATAGGTCAGCTGAAGAGATGACAGAAAGGGGTTTCTACAGTACATGCATGAGGTGTACTCCAAATATCCTATAAACCATGACTCAAAAGTATGTGAGCTACACGCTTCTTCAGAGTCCGATGCAGTCTCTCCACTATCCCATTTCCTTGGGGAGGGTAGACAGCAAATTTATAATGTACTGTACCAAACCTCGCCAGAAAGCCTTCACAAACTCTCCAGACAAAGTGTCCCATGATCTGAAACAAGGCTCCCGGGTAGGCCAAACTTTGCAAATTAAGTGCTTAGGCAAGAAATGAGCTCCTTGAGGTGCCTTCTGAATTTATGAATGCAAAGGGGTAATGTCAGTAATATTCCATAACCATCAACACCGTGTAGCCACACGGTGCAACTGAGGGGCCAAGAATATCCACTGCAATTCTCTGCCATGGTCTGTCTATGACTATTGGTTTCAAAGGGGCTGGAGGAGCAGTTATTCTATGCATTGTGCATGCTGAGCCTGCCTTCATCTGATGCTCTATGTCCAAGTGCAGCCCTGACCACCCTGCATCAATATGCATTTGTTCCTTCATTTGTTTTAACTCCCAAATGTCCTTCATAGGCCACATCTAGGATTGTTTGTCACAACGCTGCTAGAACAATCACCCAGGCTTCTCTGCATAAGATACGTTGAGCAGCACATGTCGTCACCATGAGCTCAGAACAAATTTTGTAGAATGTAGACCAAGTTCTCTTAAGAATTTGGGTCCATCCAATCCGCCTGTACAGCATGTACCATCTTGCACAGTTTAGCATCAGTCTGCCCTAAGTCAACGGGTAGATCTTTCAATAAAAAGCATCTGGTGTACTTTGCTGTTTCTGCACACAAGGGCACCATCACAGCAGAATTTCTCAGAAGAGCATCAGCAAGCAAATGACGACTTCCTTTAGTAATGCACCAAATTCAAGCCATACTACTGCAACTGAAGAAACCACTGGTGAGTGTGAAGCTGCAGTAGGTCAATGGCTTTATGACAGAGGCCCAAAGAGGCAAACGATCAGTTTCTAATGTAAACTGTCTCCCCACTAAGTAGACTTTGAAGTGTACAATAGCAAAAACCATGCCAAGAATTCTCGCTCCCATCTAGGAATATTTTGTTTCCATTGGGATGAGGATATGGGAGGCAAATATAACCAGCCATCCCTCCTGGAGCAGAACTAGGCCCAGTCCCCAATTGCATGCATCCGACTGAATCACTACCGACTTCTTTGGATCAAAGTATGCATATGATTGGATATGACAGAGGGCTTGACTTAAGATTTCAAAAGCCTGTTTGGACTGAAGAGGTAAAACGAACCGGACCTGGGTTAAACCCCACAGCGACTTGGCAAAGGTACTAAAAATGGGACAGAACATGACACCTATGTTTCAAGGTAGGCCAAGGATCGAACTTAAACTGCTACTATCTGTGGGTAATGGTAGCAAAGCAACAGCTTGTAGCCATTCAGGTGCCAGTTTCACACCATCGGCCAACAGCGAATGCCCTAGAAAATCTACACCATCTTTTGCAAAACTGCACTTGGCCGCATTCAACTTTATGCCAACTTGTTGGAGTTGCTCCAGCCCTGGTCCAGAACAGCATTACGCTCAGGAGGACTCTTAGCAACGATGAAAATGCCATCCAAATATCAACATGCAATCTAGATATTAGCAAGGAGGTGAGGCATCAGTCTCTGAAATACCTCAGGAGCAGAGACTCACCCAAAAGGGAGTTGTTGATAGCTGTACCTCTCCAATGACATGCTGAAAGTCAGTAACAACTGCAAACTTTCAGCCACAGGTATTTGCTAATAACCAGATAAGTTATCCAACACAGAGAAAATCCAGGATTTACTCAGTAGGTCACCTCTTTGAAGGCTGGCAATTGAAACTGCTCACGTTTCACATACTTATTAAGTGCCCTAAAATCTGTGCACAGTCAAATGTCACCATTCTTTTTGTATCTGATCACCTTGGGGGGGGGGGGGGGGGGCTCCATTTCCATAGGCCCTTCCACCTCCCCCATGATACCATTATCTTCCATACGCTGCCATTCTGCTTGGATCTTGTCCACAAATGCGGAGGTACATGACATGCAGGTGATGCAAAGGGCTTGGCATTTGAATCCAGCTGCAGAGAGTACACATATCCCATTGAGAGAACATCACCCCCATTAAATAAATCATGGTGTCTCTGAATGGTACATTGGGTATCCACTTCTATTCTAGCCAACATAACACCACCAAGGTGTCCTGTGCGAATTCATGCAGAATACCAAGCTGTAAGTACAGATCACAAGACAACAATGGAACGGCATTCGCAGCAGTGCTTTTATCAGTGTAAAACTTCGCAGGACAGGCTATGCGTGTGTAGAACACACAGCACCACCCACTGTCTGCAAAGCATACAAATTCCAAGCTTTTATCACCACTGTAGTCCAACAAATGGCCAGATTAGAAACTAATCCAGAGGGGAGAAAACATTACCATCTTCACCATGCACTTCAGCAGTGAACCATTAATGTCTGCAATAAGGGATACCCGCTCCAGCACCTTGCCACAGGAAAAGACCGTATCAAAGAAAACTTCAAGATCCCCTGGTAAAGACGGTCTCCTGCAGCTCCACACGTACAGTATGTACCACAGGCCTCCCGACATTGTGAACCAGTGTACCATGGCGCACTAACTGAAAGTGTCCGTCCTTCCCACAAGCCCAGCACTTAGCAGTTCTAGCCAGGCAAGCAGGGAAACTGGCCAAGTGACCTGCAATACCACAGCAGAAACAGTGAGGAGCTGGAAACTTTCATGGCTGAGACCCGGGTGTGGGAGTAGGTAGCGCTGTACGACTCTGAGCGACGGAAGTAGAAGGGACAGCTGACAGTTTAAGTGTAGACTCAAGGGTAGCAGCAGTCGGAGACACAGAACCCTTTCAGCCTGAGCCCTCTCAAATGCTTCACTCTTAGCAACTGTGGCATCAAAAGCTAAGAGTTCTAGCATCTTTGGCCAAAAACCATTCACCCAGGAGATCATTGGCTACACCAATCATAACATCCCCAAATTCACAATCCCGGGCCACCTGCTGCAAACAACATACACACTCACGTATGGTTTTGTTGGGCTGCTGGCAAAAAGCTTGAAAAAACATTTTCCTCTTTAGCAGAACGGAATCCCCAGTCCCAAAATACTCACTGAGGTGCTGCACAGCCACGTCAGAGAAGGACTTGGGCTCCAGGAGTGCATCATAAATATCAATGCCATCACGGCACTAAGCCGTCCTGCAGCACGGGTAATCTAGCCACATCGGAGCGTTGCAGGGTCTGCACGTAGTTCCGAAACTTCCAAACAGAGTATCACCAGTTAACAGGTGAAGAATGTGTATGCAGCATGGGCTGAAGAATAGAAGCACTTGTGGCCATAATGTTATACTCCTATATACCACAGAACAGCAATCCCCAACCACAGGGAAATCGAAGCAAGACACACAGGTAGGTGGCCAATCAGGACATGTAATAACCATGGACCAGTTAAGTGAGCAACATTCTGAACAAGACAGAACAGTCCAAATGTAGCAGCAAGCCCTGAGTAACTTCACATATCCAATGCTATATGTATGCGTACGCACACACTCACACTAAAACTGGAACACTGAGTTCAGAATACAGGAAGCTAACAGGAACAGCATGCAATAAGCAGGACGGCAACACAAACACGCAGACATAAACACACCTTTGAAAACCAGGAATGTTTGCTGGAGGACTCAGACATGCCTACAGGGCTCTCTCAGCCTTTCACTAGAAGGGAGGGGTGACGAATCTTCAATAAAGTCATTACCTCCCCACTGTACAAGTCCAACAAACACAGATTTAATTACTCTGGGGATGAGTCACCGCTGTAGTTAATGGTGATGCAACGCCACTGAAAAGATTGCCCCAAATCTTCTCAGGGTTTCAATGATCCCCGGATATTCCCCACTCTGTAGCAATCCACCTCCCAGCAGATGCAGCTTGGGCAAGGCTCCTTTAAGACCCATCAGTACCACCCAGTGAGTCAACCAGGATTAGTGGAGAGCAATCTGAAGGAATCCTGTTCTTCTGCAGCTGAAGATCCTGTCTGTGCAGGGTTCTTAGCCAGCCTGGGACCAAGGGGTGATGCTCAGATCTTACCATATGGCATTGTAGCAGCTGCCATGCCTTTAATCAGCAACAATATTTATTGGTGTGACCAGGAAAAAGATAGCTAAAAATATTATACACAAATCCTGAAGACAAGAATGTCAGTAAAAGCCCTGGCTATGGACATTTTCCAACAACCTTCACAGAAACCCCCCCTACTTAAACAATTGTCTTAGAATTTGTGGGGGAAGTTTTCATCTGATCAGATGTATTTGTGCGCAATGAGTAGTAACCAAAGCTCACAGGGAGAGAGAGACTGTCAAACCACATACTTGAAACAGTTCTCCTCATAAATGCTGTTCCAGATCTTCCAAGCCTCTGGTCCTTTGTAACCCGTGTAGCGTTCCGGATTCAGAAGTAAATCCACATACTCTGCATCAGGAGACTGTACATCTGTGAAAGGAAGGCCTTAGTTGAGGATAAAAGGAAATGAAGAAAAACTACATACTCAGGGCCAGATTCTGCCACCTTGACTCACACTGAGTAATACCATCTTCTTTGAATAGCCCCTATGGTAAGCAGAGAGCAAGTGTGAAAAATCAGGACACTTTTTTTGGGGGGAAGGTGGGGTAAAGTTGCATATATAAGACAAAGCCCCGAATATCAAGATGTCTGGTCACCCTAGTAACCCCACCGAAAGCAATGGGAATATATTGAAAGAGGAGTATTAAATGAGTAAGGGTTTCAGAATCTGGCCCTTAACAACCAGTGTATAGGCTATATCTACACACAAGGGAAGCTGTGACTGTAAAATAGCTAGGTACACCCAGGGTAGCTTTCATCTAGCTAGCATAGGTAACAATAGCGGCATAGATGAGGCAAGCATGGTCTCCAGAGCATGAACCCAGAACCAGGGCACAAGCCCGCTGGGGAACGTTAACCTACGCTGCTGCATCTGCACTGCTATTGTGACGCGGCCTAGCACAGGTGCATCTACCTGCGTTACAATCACACCTTCATTTGCAGCATAGACACACCCTTACCTGTCTTCTAGTTTCAAGTTTGAGCCACAATGAATCCACTGAAAACCCTGAAAAATGAAAGTTAAAACCTGTATGCCTGCTCGGAAATGTGAAACATTTTTTTGTTCCAAAGATAGTTAGTTGCCACTTTAATGAAACTGCCAATATCAGCTGACGTATTTTTTCAGAAAGGAGCCTGCATTACACAGCGCGTGTACATGCATACACCCTGTTACAGGGGGACAGTTTTCCAGCACTCAGTATTGCCAGCTGGAATGCCAGACAGAGTATTTCACTTTGGTCTGGTCTACACTTAAAAGTTAGGCTGACATAGCATGGGACTCAGAGGGGTGAAAAATCTGCACCCTTGAGAACCGTAGCTAAGAAAATCTAACCCCCAGTGTAGACAGTATAGAACAGTTGTTCTCAAACTAGGGTCGCTGCTTGTTCTGGGAAAGCCTCTGGCGGGCCAGGCTGGTTTGTTTACTTGCCGTGTCCGCAGGTTCAGCCGATTGCGGCTCCCACTGGCTGTGGTTCGCCGCTCCAGGCCAATGGAGGCTGCAGGAAGGGCAGCCAGCACATCCCTCGGCCCGCGCTGCTTCCTGCAGCCCCCATTGGCCTGGAGCGGCGAACCGCGGCCAGTGGGAGCCGCGATCGGCCGAACCTGTGGATGCGGCTGGTAAACAAACCGGCCCAGCCCGCCAGGAGCTTTCCCTGAACGAGCGGCGGCCCTAGTCTGAGAACCACTGGTGTAGAATGCTTCTATCACTCTAGCTACTGTCACCTATGGAGGTTGAGTTCCTGCAGTAACAGAAAAAACCCCTTCCGTGGGCATGGGAAACATCTATACAATGGCACTATAGCCACGGTACCATTTCTGTGCCGTTGAAACACCCACAGTGTAAACGTGGCCTTTGTCTGAACTATTACATAGTTAAGGAATATGGACAATCACATTTACCACTGCAGCAAATTTTATAAGGGGTCGTTCTTGCATCTCTTCAAAAAAGTACAAATAAAGATTAAACACACAGAATTCAGACTTACTAGTATATTATTTCACAGCTTACATTTTTACAAAGTTTTCAGACTGCGCAATCAGCCTTTGTTTAAATATTGTCTCAAAATCATTCACACTAGACAAAGCCTCATACCATCAGCTTCGCAAAAGTTGTCTGAAGAATCTTCATGCTGGGTCCACTGAAGCATGGCTCGCTGGGTTTCCTCGCTACAGACAATAAAGAGAGACAGTTTGAGAGTCAGTATTAATTTTTCTTTATGACAAATTTCATTCAATAAATCATTACATTATACCTCAAAGATTCATTAACGGCTCCAAGTCTTTTAGCCTCCTCACATTCTCCAGCATGTTTACTGGCTTCTTCTGAATACTAGAAGGCAAAGAGGAAATAGCTGATTTACTGCATGTAAAATCCTTCCCCAAATCCATTAAAGTATTTGGTCTGATTTTCAAAGGTGCTGAGCACCTAAAGCTCACAATTGTCTGTCAATATTTCATCTTAACATGTATTTCTACAAAAGGAGCAGGGTATTTGAAGATGTTTAGAGGCCCATGCGATTGTGGTGATCATTTTGGATTTCACCTCAGAAGTCCCCACTGGCAACTTCTGAAACTCCAAGAGCTTAGTTGTTTTGAATGGGAAGTAGCTTTATGAGCATTATGACATTAAAAAGAGGCAATATTCTAAACAGCAATTGTCAGGAGGAACAGAGGTTATTTGTGGTATACTTGATGTTAATCTGATTAGAGAGGTTTTTAACTGCTGTAGTGAAATATAACAGTCACAAGTCAAACCATTCATACAGACACACATACCTTAAAGCTTGCAGATTCAATCCCACCAGGGACTTCATTCTGAAATGCAAGATAGAAAACAGACACATTTTATCCATCATGCTGATGTGGTCTTCTAAGCTAATTTTAGGAAACATTAGGAAATTGACCAAAAAGCTTTCAATAAAATTAGTTAGAAGGGCAATGTGGTCTTGGGATTAAAGCACTGGACTGGGATACAGGAGATCTGGGTTCAATTCCTGACCCCTCCCTAGACTTCCTGTGTGATTCATAGATTCCACAGCCAGAAAGGACCATTGTGATCATCTAGTCTGACCTCCTGTCGACTAGGCCATAGAACTTCCCCTAAATAATTCCTAGAGCAGAGCTCTTAGAAAAACATCCCACCTTGATTGAAAAATTGTCAGGGACAGAGGATCCACCGTGACCCTTGGTCAATTGTTCCAAAGGTTAATTACTCTCAAGGTTAAAAATGTACATCTGATTTCCAGTCTCAATTTATCTAGCTTCAACTTCCAGCCTTTGGGTTGTGTTATATGTTTCTCTACTACATTGAAGTGCTCATTATTAAATATTTGTTCCCCATGTAGGTAGGTATAGACTATAATAAAGTCACCTCTTAACCTTCTCTTTGTTAAGCTAAACATATTGAGCTCTTTGAGTCTATCACTGTAAGTCATGTTTTCGATTCCTTTAATCATTCTCGTGGCTCTTCTCTGGACCCTCTCCAATTTGTCAACATCCTTTTTAATCTTAGGCATTTCCTGTAGGGCCTTATTCTCATTTACATTTAGCTCCTCTATACTGCCATAGTGGTGTAAGGGGGCTTAGCGTACATCAGAATCAGGCCCCAAGTCTGTGTACCTCAGTTTCCCTATTCCCCCAAAAGGGTACAAGAATGCTTGCTTTCTTATCCCATGGGGTGCTGGGAGGCTAATTCGTTAACATTTGTGAGCCACTCAGATATTATGGAGGGGAGTGCCACAGAAAAGCCAATAAGTAATTCATATTCATGTTGACTTTTTGGGAGGAGTGGGAAGAAGGAAGATGAAATTAGCCAAATGTAACAGAATACACAGTACGTGTGAGTGAGTGGTAATTCTTCCTGAACTAGACTGTTTTAAAGGGTTACATCAGCTGGTATATTTCCTGTTAATCAAGCCTCCCCACCTCTATATTTGAGGTGTTACAACATGGCTATCCAGGGAAGAAAAGCCAATTCTCTTCCTAGGCAAGATTACTGAAATGTGCACCATGCTTTTTAAGAAAATTAACTATAGTGACACAGAAAATATAATCTAAATAGGATCAGCTCATACCAGGCAGCCTTCTACCTTTAGAGTACTATATTCTTTTGACTGCTTTCATCAGCACAACACACAGAAATGGACCATTAACATAAAAAATGCTATGGTATTTAAAAAAACAGGTTTAAAACTGGAAACATTCTCTGAGTCTTCTGCTGTGATCATGTGGTTTATGATCATGTCTGTCAATCTAACAACCAAATCAACACCCTCACTTCCTCTCTATCCCTTCTCTTCTGACAGACTCCTCGAAGTTGCCTCCAGCCTCAAGCTGAGATGATGTTTTTCCTTAGCTCTTTTCCAGTACTCTGTCCAAATGTCAGATGTAAGGACAAGAGCCTTTGCTTTTGTACTTGGGAAGCAGGGAAGTCAGAAAAAATTGTTTCATATACAAGAAACTGCTTGTGAATCTGCAAATGAGTAAGTCAGTTCACTATGGAGAGATCTGAGGTTACACTCTAAGTGTCCAATCTCGGTAATTTTAAAATGTGATTTATATATAAAATTTTGCACACACACACACACACACACTATATTTATAGTGATTTTAGGTGTTTCTTGTAACACTAGTAAATGAACAATTTTCAGACATAATGTCCCTTTTAAAATGGGAAAAATTAAGACTCATGGTAAATACAGGATTGTATGACTGCAAAGCTTTTTTGTACTGTCAGCAAATGATTCTCTAATCAAATCTGGTGTAATCCAAACTATTTTTTCAAACAATACCTTAAATATTTAATAGTTTAGCCCCTTTAGTAGTTTCCTCCCATTTTTTTCTACATAAGCCTGATCAGAGAGCTACAACTGTGTTAGCTACAGTAAGCAAAAGCGTGGATTGCTGTCCTCTGCTCGTCCTCTATAAAGATTGGCTAGAGAAGAAACAAGTTACTGTAGCCCAGATTTGTAAAGGTATTTAGGTATTGCACAGCCTTGCAACACTTAACCTATTTAAGAGCTAAGTCTCATTTTCATTGACTATCAACAGGATTTTGGCTCCTAAATGCCTGAATCCCTTTTGAAAATGAGACTTCGGTGTTATGGTGCTGGGCACAGCAACAATGCCGAAATACCTTTACAAATCTGGACCTGAATAGATTTGTGTACTTACAGGTGCACAAGGCTTTACTGCGCAGTCTCTTATCCCACAGTGACTGCTGTCATTCCAAAAAGGGCAAGGTTTCTTTAGGTTTACCTGTAAAGAATTATACATAAAAATTAATTACATATTATACAAATCCACATAACCAAGCCAATTACATGAACCACAGCCTAATGTAATAACACTTGTTACCTAATCCATAACTTTTGTAATAATTCTCATTTAGGGTGTAACTCAGCACACAGCAATCCACCCTTTTATAAGGGCTTAAGTGATGCAGGACTCATGCTCTGGCTTTCTACACAGGAGTGAACTTCACCACTGGTGAAAAGACTCGGGATAAACTTTTGTATTTCTCTCTCACACGAAAAATGTTTTCAGTTGCGGTGACCTTACATATGACATTAAATGTGGTGACATTAATTAAAGATTTCAGACGTTTGGTAGGGCATTTCTTAGGTGCTCCTGGGCCTAGAGCAGATTCTCAATTGCCCCCTTATCTGCCTCAAAATATCAACATCCAAGTAGTGCTCTTCTAAACAACCCTAACATGTAATGATTTTTTTTTAAACAGTAATAGACAAAACTACAGCCAAATACTCAAACACGGCCTCATGTTTGACTCCCCAGATAGAAAGCTTTTTTAAAGCACAAATAGCCAAATTCTAAACTCACTTATATCCAGTGCTTAATTTGTAATGAAAGAGGTGCCAGGGTTCAAGGAATTTTTTTACATTCGTAACTCATGTAGCAAGCCCAGAGGTGCTGGGGCTATGAGCTGCCATGCCTAGAAGTGCCAGGGCTTTGCCCTGGCACAAATTAAGCACTGCTTATATTCATGCAACTCCAGAGACATTATTATGGGTGTAACTGCGGGCAGAATTTGGCCGGTAAAGGACCAGTTTAATAAAAACTGGATAGAAGTTATAATGACCAATTCGCTCAGTCTTGTTAAATGCCTCTTCATGCGTACAAAATGCAGTACAGGAAACAAAACACTGTTCTCACTGCACAGTTTTTGCCCCAGTAAATGTTTTCCATACTTCACCTGGCATAAAAACCACTTCCTTGCTCTACCACTAAAGCCTTTAAAGGGGGAAAAAAATGCTTCAGAAACAATTCTTAAAAAAACTTTATATAATTTATCTGAAGAATATGTTGCCTCAAATTAAGATTCTCCGGATAGTATGAAAGCCTGAATTGTTATGATCATGCTCCTAAAACAAGAATACATGAATTAAAAGATAATTGGTAACTTATATGGAGACTTAACAAAAACAAAAACCACACTACTTATCTAGTCCCGACGTATTTTTGGCAATGAATATAATTTTTGAAGATGAAAATACCTTGTAATGTCTAAAGTAGTCACTTTCCAGAAGCTTATTTAATCTAGGGAAAAGTTTGTTGTTGTTAAATGTATCTATGGTTTCCACATCACAGGTGCAGTCATCTAAGTAACCAGTGACCTGTTGAATAAAAAATAAAATATGACAGTTAATATGAACAAAATATAGGATCTATTTTTAAGTACAGTGCACAGTGAGTATTTAATACAAAATGTCTTCCCAGACTTTTCCTAAGAGGCTACCAGATAAGGAGGTTAATTAGAATTAACAAGCATTCAATCCTGCTGTACTGGCTTGCCGGGGGGGGGGGGGTCGGTTTTTTTTTTTTTTCTTTTAAGATACAGCTTTGAGAACTGTCTTGTGCCTTTTGCAATATATCTTGGTGTCTGTAAATCTCTGTGGAGGAATGCCCTTTCTCCAAAACTTATTCATAGTTGGCATATTGCTGAAGAACTGATATTTCATGAATACTTCACTCTTTTTAAAAAATATTAGATTCTGACTGAAACATTTGACTAAGTTGTAGCATTACACGTAAACACTCTTGTCCTGTCTACAAAGCACACATAAATACACTCCTTTGGCCACATAATTGTATAGGTACAATTTTAGGGCCTGATCCAGCTGAATGCCCTGAACTTTAACAGAACTATACCAATGGCAATTGCCTACCTAGGTTCTTATAGGACAACAATCCCTGTAGCATCTCAGGGTTGTAAGAAGTGCCAGTCCCCTGCATCACGACCAATTAAGCAATAACAATACCACCATCAGAACTCACAACGGCCAAAATAAAGTCCTATTAAACCACTTTATTAAACTGTTTTTAGGCAATTGTGTTGATTTAATCAGAACTGGACAAAATATGATGGAATCTCTTCAGGCATCAGTTACAGAGATCCAAGAAAGCATTCACGTTAAATCTAGTTTAAAAAGCCAACATTTCTTGCATCATTCGAAAGCAACTCAGTGGGCTGTGTTGTTGTTCAGTGCTTTTTTAAGACCGCATGAGAAGACAGATTCATTCGTGGTCTTACTGCACACAGATTGCTGGCTCAAAGAGGAAGTTGCACAATGTCAAATAAGTAGACAGAGTCGGAAGTGACCAATTCAGTGTTCAAACACTAAAGTACTCTCAGCACTCAACCCTTTACATTATGTTGGTGACTTATACTGGATTTTGACACATCAGTCCAACATATAGCAATGTGGCATTATCCAGTGTCGAGTAATATTACAGTTTTGGAAATTCAAGGACTTAAGACCAAGAAGGACTTTATTTAAATATATATATTAGTTTAGGAAGTGAATATCCACAGGAATTTTATTACAGATTATAATAGGTTCCCTTGACCCCATCCTTCAATACCTATCAAAAACAGTAGAAATCTATAGCACATAACCATTTATACGCAGACACAATATTAGTTCAGTCTCCAAAATATCTGATCTTGTCAAATCTCAGCTCCCTCTTCATTGCACTGGAAGCAAAGCTACAGGCAGAGGCAGAAGGAGAGGATAATGGAAAACAGAGGCTCCTTACAGGCATCATGGTCAGTGACAGCGAAGTGAAAACTTCTCATGGTACTGTTCTAGTGATTGCCAGGGGGTGACGGGAATAATACTCAAAGAGAAGCAAGGAGCAAAGTAAATATATATACATATATGTCTAGGTATATAGACAGCAGAATTTTTTTTGTTGTTGTTTTCAAGGACTTCTTGTTAATTCTCTTCTCTCACTTGCACGTAATTCACAGTCTTGGTCCTTATTTTTAAGGCACTCATCAGTTTGGGCCCAGTATACCTAAAGATCCGGGATGAGGGCCACAGAAATAGGTCTGCTCCTCAGGCCCAAAAGAACTGTGCAAAGGAGGGTAAATCTCATCTGTCTGGGGGACCGAGCTTTCTCAGGGGCCAGTCCCAGACTGCGGAATGAAATCCCACAGGACCAAAGTACCACCACAAACCTTCGTATACTCCACTCCCAGGGAAGGCACACTTCTTTGACCTGCCTTCTCTGGGACAAGCACAGAGCAGCATGGACACCTATTAAATTATTTTTAAAAATATACATTTAAAAATTATTGTTGGGAAAGGGAAGAATGAAAGAATGAACCAGGCAAGAGATGCTAGTCACCTCACTTGAAGACTTCTGTAAGGCACTCTGATAACTACAGTGGTGAAGGCGATACACAAATCGGAACAGAATAGTGCTAACCACCACTGGGGCAATTAAACACCTTCTTGCTCCCTTCCCTCACCCCCAAAGGGGGCAAGGGGCAATGGAACACTTTCTTTCCTTGTTTAAACATTATCATGGAGGAGAGAATGGATGGATGGAACAATTAGCATCCTTCGCAAAAAGCACCAGATGACTGACTTTGCAATGGCCTAGTCTGCTGGCTGAGGAATAAGGAGCCCCGTCTTCAAACTTGAATCATTTGTATTGTGCGTCAGTACTGTGGAATCGACTCCTTTAAAGAAATCATTTGGGCAACGTGGACCACAATCGAGGCTTGCTGAACCCAATGGAAAGGAAGTCTACATTACCACGCTAGCACTCCTGCTTCCCCATAAACAATATGTTTTTGTTACAAAACTATGGTTCTATGTTTGGTTTTGGAGCCTCCTGTTTTACAAAGCAAACCTAGTACTATTTCCTACACCTGACCTCATGTTTTCAGTAGAAACATTGACATTTCCAGCCCTACATTTCTACAATTCTGTAATTGGGAAACTGATGGGGTTTTGTATTGCAATGGCTGTAAAATTAAGAGCTCAGCAATTAAGTTTATCACCAGGTTAAGCCACCCAGTTAAAAAAAATTAACTGACTAATCCCTAGTCTACACTCATTTCTGTTTCAAAATTCTCATTGCTACTTTCTGGAAATACTGCATTCTTCAGTTAAGCCAAGGAACGCCGCTGACTGTAATCCAGCTGGCTGTTCAGAGCTACTGTGGTGTAAATCTAGGCAGCTAATGATTCATCTACTCTAGAAAAATGTTCCATTTTGAGAACATGGTCCTGCTGGCACCCTTGAAAAACATGGAACACCTGCATACAGAAGTGCTTCAAGTGGCATCCATGCCAAACACTGCCAGGATTATATTTGCTTTCACTGATTCAACCTGAGCTGTTTTGGCCTGCAGCGTGGATGGCAATAATACCAGCATGGATCGAGGACACTACCACTGTGCAGACAGTTCTCCTGGGCACGGACTGTCTTTTGAAACAGCCCAGAGTCCGCTGCTTCCCGGAGCTGCAGTATAGGGAGCCAGCAAGCCTTGCAACTGGGTTTAGAACAGCAAAAGGGAAAAGATAGGCCACACGGAGGGTTCAGAACAATTCAGCATGACTAGTGTAGGTACATGGAACTCCTCGCTCCACTGACAATTCCCACTGACTTAATACACTCAGGAATTCACCCTTTGTGCTCCACCCAGTTCTAGCCTACCAGTTAGGAATGGTTCAGTTCTCAAGCAGACACATGGTCTAACAGGCACTACTGGCCTGCTTACCTACCACTGCCTCCCTTCCTGAGGAGCCAAAGGCTGGAGACAATGTAAAGGGAGACAGACCAGGAGCCAATGAAGCCAGGAAGCCTCGAAGATGCTGAAGCCTGAGACACCAGAGGTCCCATAGAAAAGAGCTACCGGGCACTGAAAGTCAGTTTGTGTGATCCAAGTCTCCTAGAGGACCGAAGCAATGCTACTTATGCAAGGAGAAAGGTCCCAATAAGACTAATAAGGCTTCCATTTCACTTTTGCCCTGGCTAAGCTGACCTGCCCTAGAAAGCCTAGAAATAGCCAAGATCAAAATGCAAAGTCCAGCCAGGAAACACAAGAATCCACCTCTGGTCTAGTGTAATTCCAGAGTTCCTTATAGGTTCTTATATGGACATACATCACTGTATCAGTGTCTTTCTCTGCTGCTTTAGGCCCCTTAGCTGAAGCCGTAATGTTATTTATTTGGGTATCTACAGCGCCTACTGTCATGGCAGCGACATCTTAATTATAAATATGTTGACAACATATGCCACACACTACAGGACATCTTTAAAAAATACATATTTATCTGGAACAGTTGTTTAAGATGAAACACACAAGCTGATATACTCACAAACATGTGCCATGTGCTTCATTGTTCACAGGACTCGCTGACCTGAACAGTTGGGTTTCCCTGAGCCCAGGGGCTAGGGCTGGTTTTGCCCAAGCGAAAGGAGGCAACACTAAAGCTATGGTGGAGCCAGAGATGGAAGGAGTGTGTAAGTGGGACATGAGGCAAGAGGGCAGGGCTGGTTTTGCCCAAACAAAAGATAGCAACACTAAAGCCATCATGCAGTTGCAGGTGGCAGATACAAACATCCCAGACAATATGAGTGGCCCAGATTCTTGAGGGAGTTTTGGGTCTTCTCGTGAAGGAATGCAACTGGAACTCAGTATGCATGTCTAATTAACTCTCTAATGCTAATGTATCGGCATGGCGTGGGTACCTAACACAACCATTAGATCACTGCAATATTTTGGTACTAAACCCCATCAGATAAAAATCTGACTATATTTCCCTTGCTTTGGTTCTTCCTCCTTCACTTCATCTCCCTCCTTCCCCTCTGCAGCATACCTTGGGGTCGTTCCCTTGTCTAGTTCTCCACTCTGTTCTGCAGTTGTCCTCTCCACTCTATCCCCTCTACTTTCTTCCCCCATTTCTGGTTTGCTCCCTCCTCCCTCGCTTTCTCTCCGTCGCCCCCTTCCTTTTCATTGCCCAGTCCAGTTCCCATTTAAGTCAGTGCAATGACTCCCACAAGCTTCCCTGATTTCACTACCATGGTGTGTGCATCTTCCTCCCCCCGCTGCCACCTGTCCCCAGCCCAGCTGTCGAGAGTGGGGAAGATGGTGACACATTACCCTGCCATCCCCACCTGCAGTCAGAACAGGAAGTGGGATCATCTCTGTGGATGGAACGAGGAGCATCTTTTAGCCTGTATCAGCAGCCACCCTAGTTCCCAGCTCTCTCTGCTTGTGGTACTCCACTCAAATTCGGGATCAACTCATTAATTTTTTGTGAGTTGGCAGCTCATGGCCAGAGGGGGATCTTCAGTTAAGGAGGCTCCTAAGCCCA